CCCCCCCCCCCCCCCCCCCCCACCCCCCCCCCCCCCACCCCCCCCCCCCCCCCCCGCCCCCCCCCCCCCCCCCCACGTGCTCACAGTGATAAGGCCCTGTCAAAAGATCGTTTTTTCAATGAATAAGTGTTAGAAAGTGATCCTTATCGTATGATTATGAAAGATTGGAACATTTTTTATTTCAAAAATGTAATTCTGTAAACAATTGTAGCGAAATCAAAATCAAGTTTCCGATTGGAAATAAATTTCTTTATCGAAAACAAATCGCTTTGATGCGTCAGGTCTTTATTCAACCTATATTTATATCTCAATTCATCTATATCCCATCAATCTTCAGCAAAAGGAATTCAATCTCAACGAATGTTACTTGTCCGACAGTGAGTTTTTAATTATATACTTCTCATCGATATAATGTTAGAATAATATATCCGATGAAAACTTGCCATTTAATATGCAATGTGTTCATATTCACTGAAATCGGAATATATCATTCACAAGGTTTCTTTTTCATTAAGCAAAAAAGAGAAAGGAAAGACATAGGTCATGATACGCATCATTGATTTACATTGACATATTTATGTATCAATGTATATGGCCGAGCGAAAAGCATATGCGTGACATTCAACTGTATTCTTCTCAATATTTTCCGTTGCATATCATTTTCTCGTTTCTTTTATAAGTCAAGTACAAAAGTGCTATTCTAATATTTTTCTGAGCGATGGGTTTTATGGCAAGTAAAGAACAATTGATGACAGCAGCAATTGGCCATCAAGACATAGAAGCGATGAAACTACTGATTAAAGAATTAACAGTTGAACAAATGAATGCTATGTGTAAATATCGGATACCCGACAATGAAAATCAATGTACGATACTTCACTATGCAGCATGGCAAAGTATGATAGATAATTTTAATTAAATTGTTATATATATATATATATTCGATTCATTATAGATAATCCTGATATATTGGCTTTATTATTAAAGTTTGCTGACGTTTTAGAACTACGTGATAATCTTGGTTGGACTCCATTGATGACAGCTGTTAATCGTGACAGTAAAGAAAATGTTAAAATGTTATTAGAAAGTGGTTCAAAAATTGATTGTGATAATGCTCAAGGCGCTGATCTTATTGCTATGGCTATGAATTTTAATGATATTGGTAGGAATCATATTCTGAAACCAATCGACTTTTTAAAATTTTCATATAGACCTTATTGAAATTCTAATGGATCATGGAGCTCAAGTCACACATGTACCGGATACGAAAGCTGATGCAACAAGTTCAATGGGATGTTATCTATTGCATTTCGCTGTTGATAGTGGCTTAATTGATGCAGCTCAATTATTGATTGCAAAGGGCAAAATACCAATTGACACATTAGATCAAGCAGGATGGAGTCCTCTTCATTTAGCTGCTGGACATAATTATTTGGATATTGTAAAATTACTTTTAGAAAATGATGCTGATGTTAATATTAGGGTATGATTATCAGCTTTGTTCTAATAATCACATAAAAAACAATCAATTTTCACCAGAAAAAAAAGATGAGAAGATCGTTCGAGATCTTGATTATTTTCTATTGAAAAACAGTAGATTTTGGCGTGTTAACAAAAAAATTAGTAATTCATGTCAGGACTCATCATAGAAAATATGAATATTAGTGTGAAACTGATTCATATGATAAGAACACCGTTTAATGTCCTTCCTTTCTCGTTTGTCGCATTTATTTATGTAGAATGACTACCGTTGTATTTGTTTGAAGGGTGTAAAATGCATATAATACAAAATATTCTGAAATTGCTAATTTACACAGATGCTTTAGACTCACTGAGTTTTTTATTTCGAGATGTAAATGTTTTAATTTTGTGAAATCTTATCATCGAAAAATAATTTTAAAACTTATTCTGGAAAAGTCGATGTTTTCTAAGTTACAGCTGCTGAGACAGTACTAGTATAAAATTCACTGTGGATCTTTCAATGATTTGCGATGAGTTCACCATCATCCGTGTCGACATTTGCAATAAGAAAAAAAGCACGTGTCAAAAAAGACTCCTAGATCGATATTTGTCAAATATAGCAATATATGATTGACTGGGTAAATTGTACATTATTTGTTACGGTACGCATAAATAATCGCAGACGAATCAATTTTTCTCTTCCTGAACTACACATTGAAGTGTTTCGATTCGCTAGATATCAGTAACTTTTGCATCTAGAGGTGTCAGCCGTGCGACTGAGCCGCCGCAGCCGCCAAATTGCTGGTAGTTTTAAGAATTTTTGGGGAGCCACCGCTGCGAAAAAACAAGTTTAGCCGTTGCACCGCTGCAAGAGATAAAAATTTTTGATAGCGTCATCCGCCGCCGCTGACATCATACATATGCGATCGAATCGAACATTTTTCTTTTAATTTTCATCAGTGAATTTGTAACTCAGCCGCCGCCGTCACATAAGGACTTGCAAATATCAGCCGGCGCCGCCGCTGTGGAAAAAAAATTAAGAATTTGTAGCAGCCGCCACTGAAGACATTACTCATTGAAATAACGAGCCGCTGGAAATCTTTAAAAATTGAAAATTGTTGCCCGCTGCCGTCGTTCAACCCTTCGGCTGACGCCTCTATTTGCATCGCAACTTTTGCTCAATATTTCTTATCTTAATCATCTTGAAAAATCAATAGCAGAATTGTTGAGAGCTACGCGAACAATTAAAGAAACAGAAGCGACGCGCAGAAAATAAAAACACACACGTTTGAAGAGAGCAATTGAATAAATAAAATGCAAGATATAAACATATATTCTATTGAAACAAAGCATTGCAGAAAACATTTCTTGGATTAGTACAAAATCGGTTAGACATCTTTCGCTGCAGCTGTTGATAGTACTCTTTCAAATTCATAGTTATTTCTCGTCATTTTGTTCGGAAGAGCACGTTTAGTAGCGATGTTTGATTTTTACTTTATCTTTGCTTTTGTTTTTGTTATAAAAAAAAAGAATTAGAAAATGTGCATCATTCTGATCTTACCTATTCGTGCACTATTCAATGATGATTCACAGAGACTTTCAGATTGTTCAAGAGTTATCTAATTATACAGGACTCTTGTTTGATAAATATCTGCCAAGAACATCAAGAAACAGTGCTGAAAATCTCCGATGATATCAATATATTGGGTTCGAGATAGAACTTTCAACGGATTTTTCTATTTTAGGATAGTTATGAAAATACACCATTAGCATGGGCTAAAGAAATGAATGCTGCAGAAGTTATCAGTGAACTTAACAAACATGGCGCTATAGCTGATAAACTATGGCATGGAGAAAAACCAAAATTACATGATTTTAATGGAGAAACGACAGTCGATCAACAAATACAAGGCGTTGAAAATAGTCAATTTCAAATGGACGAACCAAAATCAGAAAGCAGAACAACAGATAAACGTTTTCTGATACTTGATGGACTTCAACGTCAACGTTAAACAAGAATATCTTTAACTTATATGTACTTTTTATTCTCGATATCTGTTTCGAAATGGTGAAAACACTTTAAAAAAAAATTATAAATATCAAATTTTAGAAGACAATCTTTTCTTCATTTGAAAACAAAGCAAAACTTTATTTATTATTTATTTTTAGATATTTCAAATGAGGACCGGGCAGATTAAGAAAGCAAGTCAGTCTAATTCACGATTGTCAAAAGAGTTCTACATTTAGATTCACTCTTTCGGCGCTTCCTATTGCCACAGTTTTCTTCTCGTTATTTTATTTGCTAAAATTTTATTGGTGTTACCATTTGTGAAGAGAACAACAACACTTACATCCTGAAGTAAAACTATTCTCTAAGCGCTGAAGAAGCCTGACTATGTATGATCTTTTCAACAGAGGCAATGATTGCTTTGAGTTTTAATTCTAGAATGGATAAGATATTTGTTGATAAAGTAAAATTGCTTACTTTTCTGATGGCAATTATTCCGTACTGATATATTATATCGACATGCACATCAATAAATATCTCACAAATTCAAAAGAAATAACTTTGAATATCAGCAATAACCATTAGTATTAGTCAAAAAGATATTCGTTGCGCAATGACAAAATAGTTTCAAAACACTTTATTTTTGATTTACTATTAACGAAAAAATTCACAACAAATAGTGAATGTTAAAATGATTCATGCAACATAGTCTCTCTTGGAAACCTTTGAAATATTTTTGTTTTTCATATTAATCAAAAATATGAATTTTTTACGAAGCCTCATATCTACTGTTGGGTGTGGGTGTGGGCGTTGAAGCGAAAGCTCGCACACCCACACCCATATAGTTCGTGGACCATTAAATGCTACTAGTTGGACACTGCTCGCTGGTGATATGAATGGAGAGTTTGGAAATAGTACAACTACACTGATGTTTCCAACGGATGTAATTTTGGATTCTATGGGTAATATGTATGTTGCTGATAGAAACAGTCATCGAATACAGTTATTCATGAATGAACAAACCGAAGGAATAACAATTGTTGGTGTTACACCTAATCGACTCTCCGGGGAGTCCCCGTAAAATAACGAAATCCCTGGGGAGTCCCTGTCGTAAGTCCCCGGGGACTTTTTATTAGGGGGACTCCCCAGGGATTTCTCTGGGGAGAATTGATGAAATTTTTTAAAATAAAAAAAAAATTTTTAATTTTTAAAAAATTAAGAAGAATTTATTAGTAATTAGATATTTCATCGATTTTGACCAGAAAACTCCCCGGGGAGTCACCAGGGAGACCCCGAAAAAGAATGAAATCCCTAGGGACTCCCTGGGGATTCTTCTAGGGAGAGTTGACTAGGAACTGATATGCATGGTAATGATTCTTCTTTGCTCCAGAAGCCTCGGCCGGTAGCACTCGATAGTCAACTCAATTCACATGTCGCAGATACAGCCAATCATAGAATACAAAAGTTTTTACGTTACTGAAGCGAATTCGATCGACAAATATCAAACTTAAAAGAATAAATCATCTTCGACATTAGTTTTTCAAGATTAGTTTTTTAGATAATATCTTTTTAAAAATACTCTAATGCAAACTAACATATTTGACTGATGAATGTTACACGTAAAATACCTCAAAAATGATTCCATACAATCCATGAAAAATGTACATTAGTCACGATAGTTTTACTCCTTCTCATACTCATATTCGCAAACACATTTGTGAATATAAAACAAGTGAATATGAAAGCGATTACAGACAATGTATAATTTACACGAAATTCGCAGTCAATATTCATTTGAATCGAGAAATTATCGTAACCAATTTAAGTGTCAGCAATAGACAAAAAGCCGATCGGTGAGATGAATGTTCGTTTCAAGCGGAAAAATGTCGTTCAGGTCAAAAATGAATTCTTTTCCCGTTCTGTCTATAACAGAAGACAAACTATATAAGTCAGCGTGTGTATACTAAATTTATATCGAGTACTTCTGTCGTCATTGTTCAGAAAAGATATCCGTGCATATACAACATATTCCATGCTATACACAACTTTACAAACACTAAATATGAGTAGTTTTCATTTTCATTTTCATTCTTCACATTTCTTCTTTCCCAACGATTCATTCAAACCAAACTCCTTACCAGCTCTTTGACATTCGTCACGCATTACCACACAACTATGAAAGCTTTCGCTTATATCGTAAATGATTTTCGGCATCCCATCTTCATGCAAATTTACCGATCATTGTTTTAACCAAAGTCAGCCATAATCTAACTGAGTGCAAACTTTCGCAACATCCTTAGTATTGTGCAAACTCATTTTTCTCGTATCGCGAATACATGTATGTTCATTTCGATTACATACGAACCCATTTTTCTTCTAAAAGAAAAATGATATTTCATTTATCCAAACTATTTTTCGCATTGAATTTTTCATTTTTCCGCCGCAAATTCATTTTTACAGTGGTGCGCCGTTATTGGGGGAGCCGTATATTTTCGTTACTGTTTATTTGTTTAGTGTGTGTATCGTAATTTTAGTTTTTAAGCATGTTTGACCTGAACGTCATTTTTCCGCTTGAAACGAGCATTTATGTCAGCGATCAAATATTTGTCTAATCCTCTCTTTTTGTAATATGTTTAAAATAAAACATCGAAGAATAACATTATGAGATTTTCATACTAACAAAAAAAAACAATGATAAGTACTGTTCAATGAGTTTGTTTGTTTTTTAAATAAATTTATTCATTTTGGTTTTTTTTACAACATGAACTACACGCATTATCAAAGTTAAGTAACACTTCACGTGGACATGGAAATGCATCCATTCCTGCAGGACCTGGTGCACCAGGCCGACCAGGGAATCCTCGTTTTCCTCCTGTTCCTTCTTCGCCCTTAAATAAAATTTTTATGTAAATTATAGATGAAGATCTTAGGACTATTGATGTACATACTTTGTCTCCTTTTTCTCCAGATAGACCCTAGAAAAGATAAAAATTTATGTTTCAAAACAATAATAATACTAATCATCTAAATTAGGAACGTACTCGAGGACCTGTGTCACCTTGATTGCCCTATAACAAAGAAATAAATATAATTAGATAATTTCAATCCTGTAGTTAAAAAAGGAAACGGACAATGCTGTCTCTATCTTAAAATAAATATTTATTTTGCAGTAGATTTACAAAACATATTTGAAGCGTAGGTCTCCCTTTCATCCTACAAAAATAATAATTTTTAAAATAAAACCAATAGTACGGAAAATTCATTTTCGATTCCAAACGAGTGAATACCATATTCTAATTTCTAGAAAATAACAACTCTCAACCAAATGCTGAGAACAGATTAGTTCAGTATTCTTTTGCGGAATCTTCTAGCAATATAATTTTACATATACACTGTCTGAAAAGTCCTTTGGAAAGCTTCAGAACTCGTTTAGATTTTATTTTTAATTTCTATTAGATCAGAATTATCTCAATCATCTTTTTTTTATTCACAAGGAAAAGCACTTTCGATCACTTATTTTTTCCCAATGTTAATTCCTGTATTAGCTCTTATCAGATGCTTCTACGCGATGTACTCCATTTAGTATGCATATGCAGTACTTTGTTTTCATGGATCAAAGCACTATATATCCTTTTTGAGAAAAAAAAACGATTGCTTCCCGATAGATTCTTTTATCTTCGTATTCTGTCTAATACTTTTACGAAACTCGGATTCTTATTATTCAGATCAACTAATCAAATTGTCCTTATTTCGAAGTTGCACATTCATTTGATTCAGAAATAAAGTCAATCAGGCAGATACTATGTAGAATTAGAAGTTCATGTAGACTATTATACGATTAAATGTTTTGCGAATGTCCGATGAACTTATCATGATAATATGGATTGAATTCGAATAGATTTTTATAAATGATTGATAGCGTTTTGTGTTCGATGGTTTCTGCTCTTGCTTAAAGAAAAAACATATCATCTCAAGCCGAATGATTGATTCTCGATTATTATTTGCATCCTATCTTTTAGAATCAGCCACACAAAAAATATACACAACTGAAGCGAATAGCGTCAACTATATACACTTAAGAATAGACCAAATCTATATAAAAAAAAAGCATTACTATAGAATTCATACTATTTGGTTTCCTTTTTAAATTTCTTTCTCATGATTTCTCCTAAGCCATAAACTTTCTATATTGTTTTCATTACGCACCTTTTCACCTGGTAAGCCCTAAAACGCACAAAAACTATCATATTAAAAAAATAGAAGTGCTCATAGAACAACATACATCACGTCCGGGTAGCCCAACTTTATTGAAACCACCATGGCCAGCTGGACCGATCTCACCTTTTGGTCCTGGCGGTCCTGGTGGACCTGGTGGACCTTGAATGAGTTTCTCTTGAGATGAAACAGATATTCCTGTTGACATTGACTCTAGAGCACGGCCTGGTTCACCCTTTTCACCCTATGCAAATGATACACTATCTGTAGATATTTTGTACATTAAGCAATAACATCTATTTACTTTTATCCCATTCCAAATTATTGAGCCTGGAGGACCTCGTTCTCCTTTTGGTCCCATTTCACCCTAGGAAAAATGAAACTGTCACTTAGAAATTTACAAATGAACACTATAACATACTGGATATCCTTCGAGACCTCGTTCACCCTAAGAAAAATAACAAGAAAAGCTCCATAGAATTCATCAAATATGCAACGAACTTTGTCGCCTTTTGAACCTAGGAGACATTTGTACAATTATTATTTTATTAAAGTAAAGTCGCAAGTTTTACCTGGCGGACATTGACAACTAGGCATGGCTGATTCTTGAGCATAGCGTCGTTCGCGCACGACAATCTAAAAGAAAAATATAAGTTCTCTTCATTTGACAGGCACTCTGGCACTCTTTTTTTTCTCCTGCACTCCTAATCAAATATTTTATTGAACGAATGAATAAATATAATAGAATTTTCGTCGAAGTAAAATCAAAATAAGTTTGTCAGGATTAAATAGTCAAGTATTTGTCTTTGCTCAATCGTTGAAGAGTTAAAATATGTCATAATCATAATATCGTATTATACTGTTTTATGTAAATTGTATAAAATATGAATAGATATATTTTAGAAGTAGTACACATATCTAGATCTCTATTACTTTAATTCATGTGCATATAGAAATTCATGAAAATCCATTAGAGATTATTTTTTCTTGAAAATAAAATTCTTACCTTAGGCGTCTTAACAATCGAAATACTATTATCAATCTTATTTTTATCTTTCGATATCAATTGTCGTAAAAAGCTAAAAAATTCCCCAAGCCACAGTTCGATTGACGTTGGTTGATGAATAAAAGATGGTATTGAAGACGATGACGGTAATAATTCCGTAATAATATTTTCTAATTTTGATTGTCGTTCAGCTAAAATTCGATATTGATGTGTATTGTGCGCAGTCCAACCAATTAAACTCAGTATTAATAAAACATAAATTGCATGAGTAAAAAAATACATTGAGAAAAACCATATTTGATAATTTGAACTATTCGTCCTATTGTTCTTACCGTAGAACATATCTAAGGAATTAATATCGAGCTATATACTGACTGTTAATTACCTCCAATATGTAGACAAATTGCTTTCGCACTTACTTGAAAGTCAATAAATATTAAAATATCATAGAAACAACACGTATCAATAGGACATACGAATACACGAATAGAATATTATCAATACAATTTCTAAAGCTTGATTCTAGTTTTGACGACACTGTATTAATATAGCATATGTATACGTATATGTGTACAAAGAAACTACAATAGGAAAGAAAGCGGCAGAAGACAACCGTAAAGAGTATTGTTAAAACCAAGAAAGAGAAAAGAAGAAAACTACACCATGTTTTTTTTTTGCCTTGAAGGAAAAAAAGAAATTTATTAATTATACCTGCGCCAAAAGGAATATGTAAATCGTTAAAAAAAATACATAAAAGAAGCATAACTATAGATCTTCGGAATGCAGGTGATCCTGACCTCGGCGAATTTTGGATTTTTTCTATTAGCTAATTGTTCACCGATCCTAGAGAAAAAAAATACTCAGCCTCTCCGTCTCTCACTTTATATTCTCGTGATATAAGTGCAATCTTGAACATCAGCACAAAGTCTATAAGAATCAATCTTCATCTACTGCTAAACAATAAAAAAAAGAGATTGTCGTGAACATACGCACAAAGAATACCCGGCAATACTCGTTATAATTATTGTTATATATCTTAGAGCAGAACATATTCGAGATAATTATCTAGTGACCTTTGTTCAAGCTGGATTCTCTTCGAATAACAACTGTTGTTATCATCATTTATTAATAGAAACCTTATTCAGTTTGCTCGATTCGGTAATAATTATCCTTAACCAAACGATTCTATTACGGTCACCTTTAAAGTACGAAACAACCGAACTCAAATGAACTTCTCTGCTTATTAAAATAATTATATACTGATCTAACGTACTCAAATATGTAGGAAACTAATTTGGCACATAAATGTCTAATTGAATTTTTACATCTCGGCCGAATGAATATCTCTGGTAAATGCCTTTTTAATTAAAAATAAAGAATAGGTTTTCATTGAGAATATGAATCAAACACAATAAATGAACGTTTTCTTTCATTATTATAAATATTATATATTGGTAATAACTATCGGATAGTTTATATTGAACATATTTCTAAACTTCATTTTTTAAGCTTTTTCTTTTTCAATAAGCCATAGATTCTGCTTGTTTCGAATGTCATGATGTACTTGACATAAACAATAAAAGTTATATTCGTCACAAAATACAAAAATTGATTTATTCGCATTTGTTTTCTGTAATAGCTTCAATCATAGTTTTTATTTCATTTGACATATCTAATTATGAAAAATAAAATGTTTAGTCTTCATCAATATATATTAATACGAATATTTTGATAGATTTATGAAGAACAATAAGAGATAATTAAGGATGATTCATTCAATTCTTTAGCTTTATTTCATCTTTCAATATTATTCAATCATAATTAACAAATTTGAAGAAAAAAATGTGACGAAAATAATTATTGTAAATATTATGTGTTATAATATCCTTATGACAACATTGATTCCTTATTGAAATTGATTAATATTGACATTTTTTCTCTGTCTCTCTCTCTCTCTCTCTCTCTCTTGACATACATATTACAGTAACATTATATTCTCATTGTAGATTTATTTCATGCTCTTGTTCTTCTATATCGTTGAGTCTTATTTGTTTTCGGTATATATTAGAAAACGATGCAGTTAATCGACAAAGCTCAGAACTGTTGATAGTTTTTACTATTAGAACGCTGCATGAATAAAAAACAGCGAAGATTTTTTTGCTTCTTCTTCTTCTTCTCTTCTTCTATTTTTCATACAAAAATTACTAGAAAAATGAATTAGCGATTGCCATTTCTTCTTCTTTTTCTATCTTATCTTTTCTCCTAGTTGTTCTTTTCATTGAGAAAAAAAAACTAATCTGAAACAATATATATTAGAGTGCATGCGCCACCTAATAAGAACGGGGAGTTTTTATGTTCATGTTTCGATTACAATATCTCTGTGAAATAGTGAGGAAGTGAGCTGAAAAAGTTCTTTTCTATCTATATGTGAAAGAATTTTTGAAAAAAGTTGTGAAATGATCGAGTCATGAGCGGTAGTTTGCAGTCACCTGATGCCGTTCTAAATAAAAGCACTATCCTCGATAAGAACGCTAATGCAAAAGTTGTCCCTAATTAGAACGCGCCGGCAAAAGTACATTGAATAACGGNCCGGCAAAAGTACATTGAATAACGTTATTCAATGTACTTTTGCCGGCGCGTTCTAATTAGGGACAACTTTTGCATTAGCGTTCTTATCGAGGATAGGGCTTTTATTTAGAACGGCATCAGGTGACTGCAAGCTACCGCTCATGACTCGATCATTTCACAACTTTTTTCAAAAATTCTTTCACCAATAGATAGAAAAGAAATTTTCTACTTCACTGCAAAATTTCAGCTCATTTCCTCACTATTTTACAGAGATATTATAGTCGAAACATGAACATAAAAACTCCCTGTTCTTATTAGGTGGTGCATGCACTCTAATATATGAGCTATTTTCAAACAACATTTATAATTTATGTATGATTATTATTTTTCTTTTATTTTTTGCACGAGTAAAAAAAGAAACGACCGAAAATATCCGTAGAAACTTATAATTAATTAGTATTAGTTGTTAGAAGAAATGAAAAAAGAAAGAAGCCTTAGAAATGTCTCTACATATTGAAAAAAACAATATTCTTAAGAAGGAAAATACTTGAAGATATTATTTCTAGGAATGTGCAACTGTTATCTGAGCTAATACAATAACTACACAAAAAAAAGAGAAGAGGAGAAGAGAATAACAATCATCAACTATAGAAGTAGAGATAAGACTCAGAGTAACATCTGTTGTTCTCCTTACTAACTATCTGTCATAGTAGAATTGATAGGAGTATATTTTTGGCCGTTTTTCTTATCCGTCTAACAGTAAAAAGAAATCAGCCTGACACAAAATATATGTGCGTGTTTGTTTTTTGTTCTCGCTGTAGGATTTAGTTTCCGGTAAGACCATAAGTCACCAATTCACCTGTATTCTCGTTCACATCTATGCAATAATTTCAGCGGGAATTATTGCAATGATCGAAGAGAGAAAAAAAAAGTATATAAAGATACTATTAGTGTATAAGCAATTAAACATCGAGAAAAGTCAGAGACGATTTATAACAGAAAAAAAGAATATATATAATATTTGCAAATAGAAAAAAAAATAAGAAGAATGACAAGGAAACTGTGGAACCAATATGAACTATTTATTCAGTAAAATAATCATAGAACTCTTTTATGTTTTTAATGATGTTTTTTAGTCGATCATGAATAGCGACAATTGAAAGATTATATTCTATTTCTAGATTGTTTGGTTTTTACTATTATTATTTTCTTTTTGCTTTTTCTACTCATGGCTCGCTATGAAAAATTTGACGATGATACTCCAGCACCAAAATTTACTATTGTAACAAGGTCAAATAATGAAAAAATCGATTTATTTGTTTCATCTGAAGCATCACTATCAATTGAAGATGAAACAACAACACGTCATGCACTTATAACATTAAATATAATATCAATTTTTGTTAGTTCAGTATGTGGTTTAATAACATTTTTCTTAGCTGTTGAAGAGCAATCAGCATCAGCACTTGGCTTTGCTGTTGATACTATTCTTGATGTATTAGCATTTATAATTATTATATGGCGTTTTACAAGTACACATGAACAAAAAACACGGGAAATCTATGTATTAAGAATATTGGCAATACTTTTTTTTGTTTCCGGCTTTGGTGTATTTATTGATTCGGTACTTGATATACGTAATCAAATTCATCCAATACCAAATCCTTATTTAGCTATTGCAGTCGCAATTCAAACATTTATATTTTTTTGCTTAGCATTCGGCAAATATACAGTAGCCAAAAAACTTAATGTTATATCAGCTTATTCAGATGCATTCAATACATTTATATCGGGATTAATGGCATTTTCAGTTGTTGTTAGCATTAAAATTTATAATTCAAATCAAAATATTTGGTATATTGACCCATTAATGGGAATGTTTATTTCAGCTTTAATTATGATCTATGGCATTTGGATGATGTTTAAATCTTTTTAAAAACTATTTAATGTTAGGAATTTTACGTTTATGTACATATATGAAAACCAAAAAAACAAACAAAATTTTAGTTAACGTCCCGGTTGCCATGGAATATAAGCTCCAGTCGCATGTGTTTGATTGACATGAAAGTTTGTCATTCGTTGTTCATAGTCATAATGTAACATAGCAACAGTAATAGTTATACAAAACATAAGTATTGTTATCATTATATTAAGTACAAATGTACGTTTTGACCATTGTTCTGCTATTTCATAAGAATTGAGTGTTTTAAAATTACTAACTTTATATGGAAGATAACAACAAACTATACCGAATGGAATAAATAACAAATAAAATATTGACCAAATAATATAAGTTGAAATTGTGTCTGAAATTTTTCTTTTTGATGGAACAACTAAGCCAAATTGTTGAGAATCTGGTTCTATATTTGAACCTTCAACGGCAAGATAATGTGTTAATGGAACATCGGATATTTGTACTGTTTTAGTTGTCGAACGAGAAAGAATCTCAGTCATGTATAATTATAAGTCGATTTTCTGTACAAATGTCCTAACAATAATAGTTTTCTTGTATATATATATTCATGTGAGATATTTAGAAACAAGAAATCTATTAATAGCTGGTATTTCTATCGAGTTGTTCGTTTGAATAATTTTCATTGGTATTCGTGTACGCATAAGAAAATGATTATTAGACGAAAAAGATTCTAATACTGCTTGAGAAATACAAAAAAGAAAAGAAAACATGAGATATAATATCAAATTTGATAATAAATCAAATGAGTCCATTCTGATTCTTGCTGAGTTCAAACAAACACATCGTCAAATGCACCAGGATTTTGAAGCGCACAATGAGAGATGCTTCTTTTGCATTTTTAATCGTGCCTATTAATTTATTCGCATGTTGCATCAATCATTTTTTTAATTTAAATTATAGGGTACAAGAAAAATATTAATAAAAAAATATTTTTTTCGATTTAAAAGCACATATCTATATACACAGATGGGTTCGATAAGTAAATATGTTAGTATACTTGTTTCGTTGTAATTATCTTTTGCCGGATGGTGGTCGTTGACTTCGTTGAACGGTTGGCGGTAGAGACTCACTGGGCGATGGAGACATTGATGTATCTTTATAGTAATCTGTTTCTTGAAGATATTGTTCAATATATGTCATCATTTGTTCATAGGTAACAGATCCGCTACTATCAGAAATACTCAGATCAACTAGAAAAGTTTTAAATTTAACGATGAAATTATTTGATGGAAATCTTTTACCATTTTTTAGATTCGACGGACTAGGTGATGATGATCGAGATGAATTCGCTAATGATTGTAAACCAATACCTTGTCTTCCAAATCCACTATCGAATTCGATACAATCAGTTAAATGATTTGATAATTTTGATAGTTCGCTCTTTAAATTTTGTGATGAAGCTTTTGAAAATAAAAAAGTTCTATAACGATCAATAAGACGACGATATTTATTATTATTGGTATTCGATGGTACCTAATGAAAAGAGACAATTTTTTCATTGGAAGATGTTGGTTTTCTAATCAACTTACAAAGGAAATGTAAACTAGTTTATGAACTATATCTAGTAATTGACTAACAGGATCCGTAGGTCGTAGTCGCCTTTGAGATATACTTATCGATCCAGACGATGTTTGGCGTGAACGAGTAAATGGACTTTGTCTAAATTAATTTTAAAGAAAACCCGTACACAACGAATAGAATATTGACCAGAAGAATATATTTAATTAAATATAGGCTTATATCTATGAAAAATTTGTCTCATTAAATAGCGAAAAGAGAAAAAGAATATGTCAGTTTTTCTGCTACTGAACGGCAGATCCAGTCGTATGATATCGTTTCAACAATTGCATGAATTTTTCGGCGAAAGACCAGCCCCTGACTTATTGACTTGTACAGATCGTTGCATTGCTGGTGGTTCTAGGGTTGGAGTTCAATAACTTTCAAATGTATGCGCTGCAGAAAGTAATCTAATGGAAATCATAGATGAAGCAATGATGATTTACTAGCGAACAGCTAACCATAACGAATAAGTTCTTATATTAAGACGAGACTTTTTAGTGTCGATTAGTCATATGAATTATCTCTAATTACTGTAAAGAACGTGCAATCAGTAGTATCGGAGGTCTATGCTGTTAAATTACTATTGAAATGTAAGAAGAAAAGAATGCATTTTTTCATTGTGAGATCCGTTAGAACATAGCACAGAGAAACTTGAATGTTGATTGTAGTCGAGAGTTTTACTGGTTGTATGTCAGATTAGATGTAGAACGTATTTTCCCGACATACTGTTTTTTTCCTTTTACGGACTAATATCAATGGCAGCGGTAGTTTGAAGGTGAAAAAAAGAACAATACATAGATATGTATTCTTCTATACTCACTTTCGTTCCATATTCGATGAGCCAGAAGTAGGTGGAACATGTTGTTGCACTAGATTAATACTATCATAATTACTTTCAAATGATGTATTGGATAATTCAGGTGATCGAGCTTGATACATCGTAAGCAAAGAAACATATTATTTTCCAAGTGGCACTCACATTTTTATTTTCATACCTTCATTCGAATTTAATGATTGTTCCGAAGCATATCGACGTCTTATATTATTTGGTCTTATTGGACCACTTGGCGGTTGTGGAGCATTACTATATGTAAATTCTTTTGCTGGTGCGTCAGGTGTTTCACAATCAGAAACTAAAAAAAGAAACAAAAGATTTACTATTTACTTTCTTTTTGTTGATTTTTATTGATTTACCAGCACTAAATGCATCTGGTTTACTGACATCGTGCTGCCCATCGGCTCCGTCAAAACTAACATCAGCAATGCCACCGCTATTCCCGCCTAAAGATTCTTTTGTGCTTGAACCACTCAGACATGATTGTTGATAACTAGATTGTTGTTGTAATTGTTGGGATTGTTGTCTTATTAAATCGAATTCACGATGATGATCTTGTTGTCTTAAACGTTTTTCTAACGTTTGAATTGTTGTACACGAACGATCTGTATACAACATTATTTGTTCGGTACATAATATAGCTACAGAACAAATATCCGGACGGCGTTGTGGATCGATAGATAAGCATTCAATTATAATTTGTCGTATGCGATCGGAATAGAATTTTAATGGCGTTTCATCATATTCGCCTGAACAAATTTTACTTGCTAATAAAAGAATATTGGATGTATAAAATGGTGGAGCTAATGTTAACATATGATAAAGCACACAACCTAAACTCCATATATCTAGAAGAGAGAAGATGGCGTTTAATCGAAAAGATAAAAGAGAACCAACCAGCTTTTTCATTGTATGGTTGATGTTGAATAATTTCAGGACATGCATAATATAGTGTTCCAACAGCTGAATTCATTTTACTACAATCGGTATCACGTAATTTAGCTAAACCAAAATCAGCTAGAAAAGAAAAAGTAAATCTGTTATTGAATTCGCGAAATATTATTGGTGAACTTCTTTTTTATGCAACTTTTGCACTCCGAAATTTCATTATTTGATAATTCTCATACGAAAACTAGACTCCGCCAACGATTTATCAAGCAAGCTGAGGCAAAGACAGTTGTTTTCTGTTGCGATTAGAAATGCGAAAGGGCTATTCAAAACTCGATTGTAGCAAATATTAGCTTTTTAATTTTGAAAAATATATTTGTTCCTAGAGATGTTTAATGTTAAGAAGTCATCTCCTCTAGAGTGCAATAAAAATGAATTTTCAAGAAAGAATGAATATCATACGTTGAGTATTTTGCAATGCAGACACAGAATTCATAGACATCGGACTTGGATATTCTCTAATCTTTTGTTGTAATGATACATCGATCTCTATCAGTCGATAATATTTCTATTATGGAAATCTCGCGATTAAATCTGCAATCAGCGAATTTCGATTGAGATTGTAACTCTTTTATTAAATTGTTCGTCACTTGTAATACTATCAAAAATACTGATTTATTTGAAATGTAGACATCTTATCAAAAATAAATTCGTTCTTGCTCAAACTTGGAATATCTCTTGGCGAAATTTTATTTCTAACTGTATAGGGAAAAAATGAAGTGAAACACTTATAAACCAAAATCGAAGTCATCATAACCAGTGAGACATATTCGCCTTCAAACAGGTCACACCAAAAATTTACTAATCGAATTTTATTTCTGTATTTTTTAGACCTACGATAATAAACTCAATTCTAGACATTAAAACAAAGGTGAGTCCCATCGATAAGTTTGACAGTTACTCGAATTACGCATCAAAATCAGAATACATACTAATTTTAACTCGATATTCATCATCTAACATAATATTATTAGCCGTCAAATCCCTATGCACAATTGTTTTTTCCTTATGTAAATATCTTAATGCAAGTATAAGTTGTACAAAAACATTCCAAATATGTTCTTCTGTCATCGATCGTTTTGTTTCTTTGAGTAATGATAAATAATCTTGTAACGATGATCCAGCTATCAATTCCATGACAATATATAATTTATCATCTAATAATTAAATAAAAGATTTGAACCGTTGGAAAATAATATTTATAACAGAAAAATTACTTTCAGCAAATATTCTAAAATAACTGACGATATTTGGATGACGCATTTCTTCGCGAATAATTTTAACTTCATTTATTTTTTGTCCTAAACTACGATCAGTATCAGTTGCTATTGAACGGTTATCAATCTAAATATGCATTTTTGAACGGTAAAAATAATCTTTTGTTCAAACCTCTTTAAGAGCATACATTGTCGCTGTTCCACGTCGAGCAACTCGATAGACCGAACCAAATGCTCCTGAACCAAGACATTCATAAACACCAAAATCACGAATGAACCTGGTTGGTTCCTGTTTAGGATTTAGTGATTGAAGACGTTCAAGCTTTATTTTATTTAAATCATCAATAGGAATTGCATTCCATGCATCTGTAACAGGTTTATAAGCATTAAGATCACGTTGAAAATTTCCGATAATAAGAAATAATTCGAAGATTTTTGTCGGAAATAATCGTCTATATTGATCACGATTTTTATTTAATGAAAATAAATATCGCAATGTTCGAAATACCGTACGCTATGAAATAATTAGTTTTAATGCAATTCAAAAAAATTCGGTTTACCTGAAGATGATTAAATTTTTCTAATCGTTGAACATCTTCACTTTCAGAAAAAAGAAGTATTGCTAAGATATAGATACCATTTCGTTCAATCACAGTTTGTCCATTAGTATAATCAAAGGAAAGTTCGGCTAGACAAGTACAACAAGCTGATTCCATATCGAATAATTGATCAAAACGTGAAACTGCCTAAGTATTAATTTAAAATCAGTTATTTTGGTTTTTTTCTTTTTATTGTAAAGCCTGAGATTAGCCAGCCGACATAGTAGATTGATTTCCTCCGGAATCAAAGTCAGATATTCTATTTTTTGTTAGTAAAATTAACTAATTGTTTCGAAATTATTATCTTATATGAAGTAAAAACATCATAATATTCTCATCAAAGAAGAATAGAGTCAAAAGCAGCTAGATGTAATTTGTGCTACTCACTCCATTAGGAATGCTTGAGGCGAAGTTTTTTTCCCTTTTAGAATACTACACTCGAAGAAGAAGAATTTTTCTGCACCATTAACTTCCGATGGAATTCTAATACTCTTAAATGGTAATCGTATGAGAACTTAATCATATATTATTATTATTATTTACTTCTGCATCATCACGTGTGTTTCTCTTTGAACTCTGTCCACTTTGCCGTTGATTATTGTTCGTTGATGGTACCGCAAAATCAAAAAAACGATTTCTAAAATAAGATTTTATGGATAAGAAAAAAAACAATATTTGTTTTCATGACGATCAAAATTGTTTACCCATTATCAAGAAGTGATAATAACAATGGAATTGCTCCTGTTAGACGAATTCGCCGTCGATTATCTTCATTTTCAGCACAATGAGTTAAACACCAAATAGCATGATCGAGCACTTTTACATTATTATGACTTAAATGACTTAATTAGAAAATATAAATTGATTCAATATATTTGAATGATTTTGCTTTTGTTTCTTTTACCTAGTAAAAGCATCAAGAAAGTCGTTTGGTATACGTGAAATACATTTTCGTCCTTCTGGATGACCAAGAAAATTGGACATAAGTTGCAAAGAAAGTCTAAAATATTTTTTGTTGAACAATATTTCTTTTTGTTTTCAAAATGATTTTTTCATACTGTTTTATTTCGAGATCTTTGTATAAAAATATTTGTAATAAACTATCAATTGCTTCTGATTTAATTATTTCTTTAACATATAATTCTCTATATATAATTTAAAGAAATAAGATAAATGAAATTATTTAAAAAATAAACTAATTCTTACGTTTGATCAATCATATTAATTAATAATCTTAATATACTCTGTAGAACTGATAGATCTTGAGTATTATTCAATAGACGTGTTATTGATTCAATTATTTCACTTGATACAATATGTTCTCTTTCAACATGATTTGGTGTATGCATTATTAATTTAAGAAGAATATCTTTTAAAGAAAGAAATCAGGAGGATTTTATTTCTACCATATTGAATTGACTTACTAAGCATATGTCCAAGTATTTTACACGCTACTAAGTTTACTTCACTACTACTACTACTACTATCACATTGATCTGTTGAATGAATATTTAGATAAAGATCCATTTGCTAAAAGAAAAACTAGTAAGATTTAAAAAGATAACATGTTTGAAAGAAATGCACATTTTTTAAGCCAATCATTCCATTTTCCTTAACAAAAATAAGTTGATAGTCAGGATCACGAAGTAAAATTCGTAAGCAATAAAATACTGATAATGAACATAGTTTATTTGCACTAAAAAGAAAATAAATTACAATATAGATCGATGTTTGAAAACTTTTCCGTCTCATGAATATTCAAGGAGGATTTAACATAACTGACTGTAATATGTAAAGAATGGCATCTCATACTAGCAACATAGCAATAGATTAGAAGTCGCAAGCTGAATCATATTTGCTATAGAATCGTTTCATGTGCAATACATTAACATTTTCTTGCGAGAGTAAAGAAATAGCTACCAATCTACGCACAGAATTGATTTTAAGTAGGAAATTCTTGGAAATAAAACAAAAACTTTCAATAATATAAGTCCATGAATGTGACTTTTTATACTCAGTTGGAAAGATATCCGATTGAACAAATTCTATGATCTCTTGTGTTTTAGGTAGACTGAGGCATGTTTATTCCCATTGGTCATTTTACGGTAATTTTATATTTTCATGAAACATTTAACTAGATTGCATTTTCTTATGAATTGAGTCGCTATAAGCAGCCCTATTTCTTCATTAATGATTAAGGTAGCAAAAGAAAAACAGAATCATATAACATAAATCGAATTGTGTTAATATTTAATGTTATGAAAAGAAAACTTTTAGTTTGATTAAAACATCAGAGTCATGAGAACTATTTGAATATGCGTTGTATTTACAATTCAATGGCAGCCACTTCAAAAGTCATTTATTCTTAGTGAAACGAAACCATTACACATACTATTCTAAACCACATTAGAATCTTAATCATTTAAAAAATTCATATTTCAAGGATTATTTTTATAAAAGAAATCTGTCATAAATATTTATGCAACCAATAAAAGATACTCTTATGTTATTTAAGAGACATCGTACAGAAAAATCCTTTCTGTATAGATTACTTACGGATTAAGTAATTTCTTCTTTATAATAAAACGTGAAATCTAAGGAAAAATAAACAAGATTGTTTTTTTTTTATTACTAAATATGACATACGTTAACGAATTGTTTATGTTCAAGATTATTTGAAAATTTTGCTTTGCTACTAAATTTTGATCTAAATATTTGGAAAAACAGCAGAATAGAAAGAAGAACAATTTCAATTATTAAAATGAATAAATTACTGAAAGTCATCTAACGCTTTGTCTTCTAATCGTTGATTATCAGTTTTATCACTACGTTCTAAATCATTGAGAATTTTGTTTAAGAGATTTCGATCTGTTGTACTAAAATATTGCAAGTCAATAAATCATAGTTTGACGACTGTGGTTTATTATTCTGTCAAACTTACTCTCGTTTTGCTCTTTCATTGGAAGCCATATATTTTACATTGACTGTCTTCTTTTATTTCTATCGAACTAAAATGTAACAAATTCTAAGATTAAAAATTTCCATAAGATAAAAAAATAAGAAATAGAAATTGATGCAGTCTAATTAAATTCAATGTCAAAAAAGAATTTTGATCATTATACTATATGAATATTTTACTAGCTGCTTTAATCATCAAGAATTCAGCGATTGTAAATTATAAAGCACATTTGTCAGTTTATGTTACTCCATAGACTTCACAATTTACGCCTGATACAATTGAATATTTTTTCAATACAAAAAGACAACATTAAATATCCAAATCACTCAAGAAGAAAACAGAACTGTTTTTCAATTCCTGTTGCACGGATAGGTGTTTTGTTTACAGCTACTTTTTCTTGCAGAGCTGAATATTCAATAGTCGTCAACTGGCGACATCTAATTTAAATTTAAAAACATTAACTGTTTCATTTTTAAACATAAGAAAAATATTATTAATTCTCTTTTGTTTTTATTTTAATATAAATAAAGATAAATAAAAAATAAAAAACAACGTCATGATTATACATATGTCTTTCAATCAAAGTTATTTGTTTCAAATTGACCTTGTTTAAGTCATAGTATTTTTTTTCCAAAATGGATCAAGAAAGTGCAATGATGATTGTTTTATCATATGAAAAATTAAGAATGCCAACATTTAGTAAGTTTAATCGAATTAAAATATGTTCTAATCATTTATGTCATAGGTGTTCGACAGCGACGAACAGAAAATCCATTACGTGAGCGTTTACTTGTCAGAAAATTTATTGTGCAATTAGAAAATTAGTAAACTTAGATCTATTGAATAAAAAAAATGATTATTTAAATTTTTAAATAGTTACTATCAACAGCAACAATTATCAATACCAACATCAGATAATGAACAAATGGAAATTGATCACGTAATTAATTGGCTCACTTTTTTTCGATTCAAATGCAAGTCTTCTCTATTTTTAGGAACTTGAAGATGATTAAATTCTTTCAATGCAGTATTTTTGTTTGTTAAGCAACAATTATCTGTGTTTATCTTTTAGTTGCCTCTATAAACCAATAATGTCAGATTTATTATTATTAATATTTTCTTTTGTATTCTTCTCGTATCTATTCAAATGTCAGACTTGTCATAATCATTGTCTTGTTGTTTTTTTTTCTATTTGATGTAACGAAATAAATTTATTCACTAGTTAATTTTGAAATGAAGAACATGAATTATTATAGCATTTTCTTTCATCAAGCAGAAAAAACATCGTCAAGTGGATGTTGAAGAGAAAAAAGAAAGATTACTTGCTTGCAATTTTTTTTTCTTAGTTGATTCTGTTATGACAACAGCAAATTGTGGCTTCGTTTTAATTCATAACGACAAAAGAAATATTGTTTTTCCTGTGAATTAAGTCACTACTATCGGATTACAAGTTTGTTTCTTATACGAGGCTACATATCTTTTTTTATCAGTCTAACGACATCCGCAATGTCTCGTTCAGGAGTCTTATCACCCACACGCCGTGTTCATTATCAACCTCAACTTTCTAATGGAATACTGTCGCAAACTCAAAATTATTCCATACCTGAATTAGTAAATTTAAATGAATCTTTCTCTTCATCGTACGCACACTTCAATCCGCTGGTAACAATCATCTATTCAAATGCATCATTATCGAAAGGTATGCCTCTCATAATGGCAGAAGTTAAAAAACGAGAAAAGATGTGAGTATATGTATTTTATGTCTTCAAGCAGTAAATCCATTTACTGTTCGAAGACGTAAGTATGACATTGAAGCGCGCATATAGCTTAAAGGGGTGTAAAAGAAAGAAAATGGTTTGCAAATAGTACAAAAAGCGAACACAAGTTTCTATAGTATATAAGAAGAGTACAATAGTAGTTAAACTTTTTTATGGACTGAGAAAAATAAATGACAGGCAAATGAATAACGCATGGAAACATCTAAATTAAATAGAAGTTTAAGTTCTATGTCGGCTACAAAAACGGTCGAAACTAAAAAGCCATGCGTACCAGGAAGTTGCACATTCTTTCGGTTGATTCATGGTGGTAATGAATTATGATCAATCTGTTTGTTTGTTTTTTATTTCAAATTCTATTTTATTGTTATATGTAGAAAATCAACAATTACTTCTGAATAGTTATGCATCCTGCCATCGTTTATTGGATCACATTAAACCATTGGTTGGTATTCCAAATGATGGTAAAATATAATTGATTTTATGAATAAAACAAATATTTGCATCTATTTTTAGACGTAATTGATCTCATGGACAATGAAGGAAAATTAAAAGAATTAAATGTGCATGGTGAAGACTATGCATCACAATATTTGGCTGGCAGAAACACTTATTTTGTAGTTAAAATTGAAAGTAAAATCAAAAGCTTGTTACTGAATTCATTTTTTCAGTTTCATCATCAAATATTTAGATGATATCGTAGCAGGTGAGAAACGTTATGCTGCAAATTTTAATATCGATCAAGTCGACTCAAAATTATATTCAATATTATCAAGTAAACAGAACTGAAATAATAGAAACGATTTCAAATTTTCTATTTAGACGCATTCATGTCATTGAATAAATCATCAGCTGTTAAACCAAAACGTAGTACTACAACAACAAAACAGAATACACCAGTTCAACCAACATCGACTGCAGCACAAGCAAAACTCAAACGAACATCAAGTCGAAAATAACAATTCACGAATTTTATTGCGATGCTTTTTTTTCCTTTTTTTAATACATCGTTCAATTTGTATTTTATTTTTTCTTTCTCGATTTCATTAGCTGGACTTTGCTTTTTTTCATTTTGATTTGTTTTGGAATCGATGAACTGTATATTGAATCAATTAATTCTTTGATTATGATAGATTAGCAAGAAATGATTAGGTAGAATTAGTTCGAAAGCTGCTAATCCATTGCCGTTTATGTAATTTGCAAACTGCGCCCTTATTTATCAAGTAGAAATGGAACTGACGAAGATTCATTACCTATTTGAAAGCCAATAGAATTACTATATGAAGTTAGGTAAACACAAACCATTGCCCCCTGCATGTATTTTCGTATTAAACAGTAGAAAATTCTTGAAGAAAGAAATTCAGTCTAGAAAATCATAGTTAAATAAAGACGTGCAAAACAGCATGTTACCTCATTTGAATAATGTCGATGTAATATTTTGATGCTCGAATTTAAATATAAGTTTTTGCCTGTATTTTATGCGTTATTCTTAATGAATGGAAATATATGCTCTTCTATGATGAAACATCGCATCGTTGATTTTTGCATGTTTTGACATTGACAAGGCACTGTGTTCTTATGCTAAAATTTCTTTATTGATATTTTAGATGCTTGAAAAAACTAGTTGATCTCAAACTAGGAACTAAGAACATGTAAATATAGCCAACGGTTGCTTGTTTTCTTAGAGAAGAATATTGAAATGATAAATGAGCCTAAATCATAGAGCTTAATTTTAAAAAGTTTCTCAAATAAAAACAGGCGTCTGTTCGTGTGGATTTTAAGTTTTTTTTTTCAGTTGACTCTTTAAAATAGCCAATGAATCTATTTGTTAAATAAATATATACGTATATATTCAATTAATTTTTATTTCAAGCATCAATTTCAATGGGTCTCAAAAGATTAACAATATAAAAAGAAAAATTCAATCGATTAGTCTATTTTCAGAGGTTAACTACCTCAATTGAATTGGTTTGATAAGCATTACTGTTCATATTTTTGAGACAGCACAATTGATTCGAGCCTTCAAATATTGACTCAATTCATGACTTCTGTAAGAGATTATTTGTATTCGAATTTATTTCAAGCTCAAGATAATGTTTGAATTAGAGTACAAGTCAAAATTTCAGTTGTAAACTTCTATTTACAATGAAAGATTAATGGATAGTTGAAGTTAAGACAACAAGCGTATTGAAAGTCAACCGCAAATATCCTCCATTCAAGACTTACCTGGTGTGGAAACATTCGCGACAAGTCAATAGTTGATAAGGATACTGATATCCTTGATAAAAAATGTCTACTGGAAGGGTTGAAGTATTGTTGAGTAATTAAATAAATATCGTTTAATGATTCGATCTTTACTGTTTTTTTTTGCAGCCCCGTTGAGATCAAAAGACAATTGAAATTTCTATTGGCTCTGAAAGTCCAAAGTAAGAGCTACCAAGCTGATATTTGTCAACTGTTTAGATATATTTTTTTGTTCTATATTGTAAATGCTATTTAATTCATACAGTGGCGCACCCAGAAACTATGTTAGGGGGTGGCGCTTCTGGCCAAAAAACGGTTTTTAAGTCTACTTGAGGCAGAACGACTATTTTCTGTTTCATTTCTGCTGGGGAAAACCGAAAAATGTTTTTAAGGGGGATGGCGATCGCCCGGTAGCCTAGCTGGTAAATCTGCCACTGAATTCATGTTTATTAGGAAAAAAGAGACACTTAAAATCAGCATAAAAACTGAGTTGTTTTTAATTTAAATTTTTAAAATTCGCCAGTGTATCGAATTTTATATCGTTCAAAATTTGATCAAGTTCTCCCGCGGGATCCAACTGAAATAATCAATTGAATAAGAAGATTGTTCAAACAGTCAATGATAAATACTATGCTGAGAAAACGCTACTAGCAAGGTAAATGGACAATGTGATTAAACAATAGAGGTGTTATTTCGGTTGAATTAACTTTCTGACTGAACCCCGAGGGAGCTTCAAGTCGAATCATACGAGAAGAAAAAAAGTGAGAATCGAAATAATTTTAACAAAATGGTATCAAAACGAAATTTATCATCACTGTTTCTCCACCAAAATTTACTTCAATTTCTGAATTCATAAAACTTCCACCTATGAAATTTCGGAGAGAACAACAAGTAACGATAAGATAAGTAGTAAATTTCCATTATCATTTCGAAGATTATTTACATAATTACTCACAATGGACTATTCTATCATGCAACGTAAGCGGTTTAATCATATTCAGGTCTTGTTATTGGCAGGATTATTTAGGTAAATAATTAGAAACATAAGGCGATTATAAAGAGTGTACACCAATTTTGTCATCATAGTTGATGAATATCAGATAGAAGTGACCTTTTATTATACTTGAGTATTTTTTCTGTCTTTGTAAGATTATACATTGGAACGATTTTCATAAATATAAATATCCTATGGTGTCTTTACTTTAACCGTAAAGTTTAAAGTCGCCTTTAAACGCTTCTTTTTAATACTTTTCAAGGGGGAAAAGGGCCACTTCACGTACTCCCTGTACTCCATCGTACTTCGAAGTAAGGAAGTCGCGCTGTTTCCCCATTGGCCACCCGTAATTTTTAATAAAAAAACGAATACGACTTTGAAAAATATATCTCTTCCTTTTGTTTTGACAAATGTTATTCATAAATGCAGTAATTTGTACTTATTACGAACATAAATATCAGCCGTCATGTATTTTTGCCTTCACATGTTGCACTTTGTCAATTTCTTAAATATCTAGAATCTTTTTTCTTTTTTCTATAAATTTTACTACCTACATTAACCAAAATCATCATAATCGCATTGTGAATAAATGAGTTTTCGATTAAAATTAGAAGATTAACATACTCAGCCAAATCGAACAAAAATAATCGAAGAATGACAATGATAGTAAAACTTTTACTGCGAAAAACCATCATAAATCCAGCAGTCGATTCTAAGAATACGATGAAACACTAGTTTTTTAGCATTAATACTTAATTTGGAACTGTTAAAACATGTTCGATGTGTCACTGAATGATTCATTTTAGTCTTTCAATATGGTCAACATCACTGAGTGATAGTACGAAAGTTTGCATCGCTAAGCAAGTTTTTACTATTCTTATCGAGTGCTTTTACTCATCATTATTTGTAGCACGAGTGGTTGATTGCCATATTTTTCCAATTCGAAATAATTGAGTGTGCGAAAATTTATACAATTGGCTTCCCCTACGCACTCATCATCGATTCAACGTTGAAAATTGAATTTTGCTGCTTCACATGAAAATGAATCGAAAATTGTCATAACTCCCAATGCTTTTTTTAGCAGAATAATTGTTTATAAAATTCTGCATCAGTAAAGTCATGCACGGAAGTAAACCTAAAAGGATTCTATTGACATTTGTAGCGTCCATAGAACGATAGTAAAAATTTTGATCATTTTTTAAAATAATCACAAATGGTTTTGTTCTATCATTGTGGACTGTAGACACCATCGTTGACAGTCTCTTCTTATTTTGCTCGAAAACACAAAAATCGATCGCTTAATAACCTGGATTAATTTTTTCTCAACTAATAATTTGCTTGTGCTATTTTCTTCGTAAACCACTAAAATTATGAAAAATACACCCACACAAGCAAATATTTGATTTAGCTGAAATTTATCAATCAAACATTTCGTTTATTAAATCGGTAGGCAAACACTGTATGAACTTTCTCATACTAGATATATTTCAAATTACTCATGCAAACTTCCTTGATAGCAGATTGAAACACGCAGACAGCGAAATATGAAATGCAATAAATAATACAGAAAAAAAAGAAGAGAAAATCTATCTTAACATATTTATTATTCGAATGCACAACAATTACATTGAACATTCTTAGAGATTTGTTTCAATTGTTAAAAATCATTTTTTTTTCTATGTGAAAGACGTGCACAAATCTGTCTAAAAATATAGAAATACAAATGATTTTATTGGGAAATAAATATACTCCGGTTACCGAAGTATGTTTTTTTTTTTCCTTTTAAAATTATTTTTTTATCTGAAAAACTCAGAGACGAAAATAAGCTAGATCTTATCTGTCATCTTAATTATATCCTCCAGTAAAAACGATGCTCAATTAACGAAATATTGACGATAACACTCTCATCTTCTCTCGAATTTCTTGAAATGATATACGATTTATAGGTTCATAAGCCCAACATTGCTGAAGTATATAATAAATATCAATATTACACCCATCCGGTTTCGGGTGTATTTCACGATTCATCGCCACTCGCTTTGATACATCTCGGTCGTTGTCTATATGAGGATATGGTTTCGAAGGATTCTTAAGCATAAGTTGTACAATTAAAATACCAAATGCCCAGACATCACTTTTCGGTGAAAAACTTGCATAAATTTCTCTTCGTATTTGATTATTGGATTGGTTCGATCGACTTTGTACTCGTTTTGGTATGCATTCCGGCGCAAGAAAGCGAACTTGAAATCGATATTCACCATTGTATGTAATTGATTTTGAGAGATTATTTTTGCCTTCTTCTTTTTGTATGGCATGACCAAAATCGGCAATACGAATATAACCATAAGAATCGACAAGAACATTACTTGCTGTTAGATCGCGATGAACAATATTTTTCTTTTCAAGATAGATCATAGCATTGGATATTTGAAAAGCAACATTTACGATTCGAGACATTTTCGATAGGGATGTTCGAGCTCGTAACGGACAGATCGATTCCAGTGATCGTCCGCTGTGTGCAAATACTAAATAATTATTTTGTTGATCAGAATAATGACCGAATAGTGTGACAACAGAAAAAAAGCAGAGTTGCTGAAGTAAATTTAATTCGTTATCATAATAGGAACTAGTTTGTGGAAAACGTTTAATAAATATTTTAATATCATTTTGATTTGGTCGTTGCCAATAACCTTCAGATATTCCATCATTATTTTTACCACTCAAACGATCTCGTACAAAATTCAGACTACGAAATTCATTTGGATCTATGATCCATGATAAATTTTCAATTGGAAGAACTAATTCATGTGTTAATGATGTATAATTCGCTAGCTGACTTCGTTCGCTATGATATTGTTCTAATAATTGTGCATGATTTTGTTCACCACGAGATCCCATCAGTGATAAAAAATAATTCATTATTGGACGTTTATATAAAGTCTCATCGACACGGACTGATAAAACAACATGAAGATCTCTATCCGAAGATTCAATTGATGATGTTTTCGATTGATTATTTATATGAATAGATGAAATAATTTCATCGTTCAATGTTTGATATCGAACAACATATGTGCCGTGTGCTTGTGGCACTAAAGCTCTAACAACGTAGGCTGGCGACACATTTTGAATCATTGGAGAATTGAGCATTGATTCGACAATAAATAATATCTACAACGAATTAACTTCAAATGCATGTGTATATTAGTAAAATGCAAAAAGAAAAGAAAATTTCCTTACAAATAACAGGGTTTCTTCTCTATGATAAATGAGCTAGTAACTATTCCGCGAAATTATATGACATTATATTTTGACGTCGTCGCAGAAAGAGAATTTCTTTTTGTTCTGCTTTCCTTAAGTTAAAACTATGTGGACAAACCAAGAAAGAAATGGTGTGTTTGTTTTATTTCTTATCATCGCAAATCGACGAAGCGTATGACAATTTCAGTGCCATATAACATCGTCTAGACTCCTATCAAAATAAAGCCATTTGTTTTATTTGAATCGATACGATAGTCTGGTTTTCATACTCCAAGAAAATAATATCTTTTTACATAAAAAGAAAAAAAAAGAGGCTATTTTCAGCGACTTTTTTTCTTTCTTTTCTGCGCGAGCCCCCTTGAAGAGAACACATTTACTTTTCGCTGAAAAGTAACATACAATGATTTAAAATCCGAGAAAAAAATGTATAAATACAGGGGAACAATAAATATTACAAGTTTATAGATAATGCTTCACATCTTCGGATGAACTTCATCAACAATTAACTGCATATCATATGCGTCAGCACCATCTGAATAAAATTGTTTTCGCACTCCAACTATTTTAAAACCAAATTTATTATATAATCTATATGCATGGATATTCGACGTGTTTACTTCAAGCTGATGAATCCTATAACCAAATTGATGAGCGTAATTTATCATATGATGTAACAGTATTCCACCTAAACCACCGCCACGTTGATCGGGATGAATGCACAAATTTGCTATCTCTGATTTTTCGCGAATGAAATATTGAATAGCATATCCAAGTACCGAATGATCATTAGTAACGCTCACAAGTATCCAACAATATGTAAATGGTTCACCAAGACAATGAAAAAAAGTGTCAGCTGTCCATGGCTCAAAAGGCCAAGTAATTTCTTCTATTTTAACGAGCGTATTAACGTCACTATCAAGCATTCGTCGAATTCGATATTTAGTTGGTCTGTCATTGTCATTCGATGATAATAAATTATTTTCATATATAATGTTATTTGATAACATTGCTGAAAATTTTATTCGGGTATGAAAAAATGATGAAAGCAGAATTTCTTCTACGATATTTCATATTACTCATAGGTATTACTCAACACATAAAAACAAATGAATACTTTATGACTAATATTTGCTTTATAGTACATGCACCATAAAGAAAAGTATAACATTCGTCTTCTAGCAAAAGAAAAAAAGAAATATTTTTCAGTAAAATCATGATTACGCAGAAAGGTGAATAGAATGAAGTATTTGACTCTGTTGCATGACAACAAAGTAGCGTGCAACTGTTAAATCAAAGTGACAGCATGTTTGCCTTTTGAACTTGCAGTGCAGTGTTGAAATATGAAAGTGGGTGAAATTTTGTTTTTTTTAATTAACAGAAGTGTTAAGAGAGAACTTAAATGATCTTTCGAACAAATCTATTTCAAGAAATATTCTTACAGGTTTGGTCAACCGCTTTCGTCTAAACTAGATTGAAGTCGTTTTCATTAGTTTTATTATGACTTTTAAGGTGACTTGTCTTGGTTATTCAAAAACTCTTGAATTTCTTTCATCACATTCGGGGTGAAAAGAATATTTTTTATTTTCAGCGTTAACGGTACAATCGATTATTTTTCTAGTATTTCAAAAGAATCTCCTTCAGATTCAAGTATCTCAGACAGCGACGAAATATTTGAAGCATTTGCCTTTGAAAAATATTTTGTGTCTATTTTCACTGAGGGAATATTCAGAATAAATACAGGTAAACCATAGTTTGGCATTTTACCGCATATATTCGATGCGTATTCGTAATACTGCTTGTCAAAAAACTAATAATAAGTAAATGACTAACAACAAAAATAGGACGAAGAGGGGATCAAAGGAACAAAATGTAAGAGTAGTAGAGGAACATCGAAATAAAAGATATAGAATAGACAGACAGACCAATGTTGAAAAGGAAAAAAGTTAACAAACGAGTGTTCAGGGTTTCAACAGATGTCACGAGTTTATAAGAATAAACATTTTCTGAATGTGCATATTGTGTAGTTCATTGCCGTTCTAATTTTCTGAAAATTTATCCTTACGGTATTGATATAGTATCTGATGACGAAATTATATAGATTTCGTTTTTACGTGTTTGAGACATCAGGGAAGTTAGCACAAGATTCAAGTTTTTCCAGCCCGGATTCGCCGCTTTAGCTGTGTTGAATCTGAAAATGGTTGTGTTGAATTCAGAATGAAATTCTGCATCGAATGATGCTAAACTTGTATGGGGTCATCGATCAAAAAATTTCTGGTCTCACTCAAGTCATCCCTCCAAATCTATATTCCAGCCCCACCCAAGTCGAAGAACTTTGGTCGATGACCCCATACAAATTTAACATTATTCGATGCAGAATTTCATTCTTCATTCTTAATTCAACACAACCATTTCCAGAACCAACACAGCTAAATTAGCGAATCGGGGCTGGAATTACTTCTACAAAATTTTCAGAAAAAGCAGTATTTTCGGATANCCCATACAAGTTTAGCATCATTCGATTCAACACAAAATTCTGCATCCAACACAACGAAAATGAAATTCAACACAACCATATAGGCGAATCCGGGCTGGAAAAGCTCGAATCTTGTGCTAACTTCCCCAACGTGTGTTGAGTAGGTAAATTATAATTCGTATACTAACTCGTTAACGATAAATGATGACTCAATTTTCCAATTTATACTACATAACTTTATGGTGACAACAGTGACAGGACAGCGAAGACTCACAGACAAACATGCTTTATCTTTGTCGTTTGTATATTTTGTTTTCATGATATTCGTAATAGTAACGATCGTCTCAAGAGCGTCATTTACGATGGATTCTATTTTTAAACATGTAAACACATTGTAACGATGACTGGCAAATATTTGCAACCATGGAGTTGGTTTTTTCCAACATACGCCCGTCTGGGTATTCTTTTTTTGTAAACATTTTTGATTGTTATGAATATATTAAGGAATAGAAAACAAAACAAAACAAAACACCACAAGCATAAATGCAAACATCTTGCTATACGTTGAAATTCTTCATAATAACAACAATAGGATTCGATAAGCATCAGCATCTTTAGAATAGTATTGAGAAAGTAATTCAACTGGCTGAAAGTCATATTGCTGATATAATCTATATGCAGGTATATTTGATGTGTTAACTTTAAGCTTAATCCTTAAAATATCATGTTCACGAGCGCAATTTATCATATGTTGTAAAAGTATTCCACCAAAACCTTGACCACGGTCATTCGGATCAATATATAGAGTTCTGATATGTGATGAACGCAGAGTAAAATATTGAATAATCATTTGTAGTATTTTCTAATATCTAACAATAGGAATATGGCTTATCAAGATAACGCAAAACATTTCTGGCTGGCGATGATTCATTGTGCCAAATAGTTTGTTCTATTTTAACGATTTTATCAGCATCTGATTTGAGCATTAATCAATTCGATATTGATGTTGATTACGAGAAATAATTATGGATGCTTGACTGAGATTGTTTGTATTTGTTTCAAGAGTAGTAGTGCAACACAGTGTGACGCGCATAGAGAGTGTCGACTACTCTGAAAGAAAAAAAATGAGTTCTGCAGAATATTTTAATTGTAAAGTTCTCGCCTCTAACCAGCTTCAGAACCTTTTGTTTCATGCGGAACTGTTTTTAGGAGGTTCTGGACTTGGGCAAAAGCGAGAACCTTAAAATATTCTGCGTAGCTCCTTTTTTCCAGAGAGTGCCCGTCAGCAAGATGGCGTATTGTGTCATCTGCCCCCAATATTCAAAAACTTAAAAATATTCTACTTAGGTCAGAATACGAAAAACAAATGCAACGTATGAACGTATCATGAAATTTGTCTTTTTCAAACACGCTAACTTGGAACAGAACGTTGCGCCTCTCCCCGTCCCAAGTTCAAACGATCATGCCACCCTTGGAATCACTATTATTTATTTTGTAGCTGCTCTTTTTTTCGACAAAGAGAATGTTGTTCTTATCCTATTTTACATAGAAAGAAAAGCTATTCTAATTACCTGTTATTATGCAAAAAAATACAACTTGTATTTATTAACAGCCGATATGTTGGGTTCGACGTTGGATTGATGGAGTGCTCGTATGAATATAGTTGCATGTAGTTGTCAACGTGAATTATGAGCAGAAGAACAACCTTCACAAAAACAAAATTCAAATTTGCAACTGAATATGAAGAGATTTTATTAAAATACTGTCTGAAACGGATTCTAAATTAAATTAAATGAAAATTCACTTGCATAAATAATTATCTGTGGTACAATTGTATACTTCACATTGGCACCGTTTGTTGTAATTTAGGATTACGACAACTTTTCGATCAGTTGTTCATAAGTCTAAACTATACGAGAATAGCAAACACTGTTGTAAATATGATGATGATGCAAATAATCAAATGTATTGAGAGAATTCAAAATCAAAAGCATACTGACAGGAAATGTTATACATTGTATATTAATGCACTTCAGAACTAGTAGTAAAAAAATGTGGAAACTTCAGATTTCATCCGAGAGTTATGTGTACTGCAAAAAGTGCGTGGGACATATGAGTCATCCTAGAATATCTGAACACCAAAATTATCATGAGAAACTAAGCAATTTGATTTCTGGATGCAGTTTTCGTGCGTTTTGAGACGTTGTTCAGGCGATGTTTCGTTAAAAAGCCACGATTTAGTTTAAAACTAATATCCGATTCGGAATCAGCGTTAAAAACTGAGTCGATTTATATATGTTGTGAATAATTTTGAGAAAAATTTGTTTTTTGTAAAAACATCCCTGTACCCCTCCTCAGGGATGGTCTGGTCAAAAATGACAATTTTTTCGATAACTCAGCCATTTCTTGACGGATTCTTCCCATCTTCGAACTCGACCGAGATATGCATGAGATTGAACTGGGTGGAAAATTTCATCACGATCTGACTCTCCTTTCGAAAATTATCGTGCTTACGGACGGCCGGACACACTGACCGATTCTAGTGTATTCACTTTCTGAGTACACAAAAACTAATAGAAATCAATGTTTATTTTTATATTTTTTCAGAAAAATAATCAACATAACTTAGTATATATGAATTCGAATTTCGGTCTTTTTTTTCTTTAAGCAAAAGTTTATTATTGAGTGATGTCAATGAATCATTTTTCTGATCATGTAGTGATCTATCATGATTTGACCTTTGCTGAACATAACAAAAAAACAATATGTAATTGAAATAATGCGTAAATATAAGATAAAATCGTCTCAGTTAAACTGCGTGCTACTTTTTAATTAAAATATCTCATGTATACAGGTGTACGTGTTTTTAACTATGTTTTAACAATAACAACAAAATGAAGGAAATGGATAAGATTACAAATATTTAATATAAAAGAAGGCAACTGATCGATATTTGTTGTTTACAGACAATGCTGAATCGAGTGCGTGCACTTATCCGATCAAGAAGCGTCCTTGAACAACCATTTGAAGTAGCTAAACATGATCTTCATGTTGTTGTTCCACAATCTATATGTATAAATGAACTCTTTAGGAAGGGAGACCAACTAACAGTAAAGAAGAAGTTCGAGAGGAATGGGATCGCCCAATTGAATTTATTCTCTCATTAGTCGGTTGTTCTGTTGGTATGTATGATCAACAATAATGAATTCATCTACTCATTATTTTGCTTTTGATATTTCTAGGTTTGGGTAATGTATGGAGATATCCCTATATTGGTAGGTTTCAATTATAACTATTGTTCTATTTAATTTAATCTTTTGTTTTCTAGCATTCAAGAATGGTGGCGGTAATAGTATATGAAAAAACAACTTGCTTTTGTACATATTTTACTGAAATAGGTGCCTTTCTTATACCATATTTTTGTGTATATTTTCTTATTGGAACACCACTTTATTTTCTTGAATTGTCACTTGGCCAATTTGGTAGCCGCGGTACAACGGTTGCTTTTAAAATGACACGTATGTTCAAAGGTAAGCGACGAAAAGAAATTAACAAATAAATGATGTTATTCAATATTAGGAATTGGTTGGGCAATGGCAATAAATTCTTTTCTTGTTACAATTTATTACAATGTAATTATTGCTTGGTGTTTATTTTATTTTTTTGCTTCGTTTCGACGAACACTTCCGTGGAGTGGTTGTGACAATTGGTGGAATACACCAAGTTGTTCAAATCCAGGTTCTATTTAAAAAAGAAAAAGAAATGTATTTGTAAGATTGTATTGAATATTTTAGATGGATTAAAGAATTCAACAGCAAATTTTCTTTGTCTGTCGGGCAATCGATTGAATAATTGTTCAATTCCTACATCACCACCTGAAGAATATTTTGAGTACGATTTTTGGTTTCTAAAGTTTTATTTTTCTATCATAGGTTTAACTCAATTATCTTGATAGTCATTTTGTTTTACGACGAAGCGATTCAATGGAGGCAATGGGTTCACCACATTGGTCGCTTGCATTGTGTTTACTCTTGGCATGGGTACTTGTTGCTATTTGTATCATTCAAGGCATTAAATCATCTGGCAAAGTAATGAGAAAAGAATGTATTTGTGATATTTGAGTACTCTTCAATTACTATGATAAGAAGAAAATTTAGATATAGAATTAGCAGAAGAAAGCATCAACTGGTTTACAGTACAATTTACTTTTTAGGTAGTCTATTTTACTTCACTGTTTCCTTATGTCGTCATTTTTGCTTTGGTTATTCGTGGTGTGACTCTACCCGGTAAATGAATTTATTGGATAGAGATTTTTGTTTTTACCCATGCGCACTATAAAATAGGTGCAGCAAATGGAATTTCATTTTATTTAAAACCGAACTGGAGTAAAGTTCGAGAGTTTGAAGTGAGCAATCCAAATGAATCTAGTTGGCTTTAGAATGGAATTCTTATTTATGTTTTGCTCGTCTAGGTTTGGATTGCAGCTGCGTCTCAAGTAACGTTTTCTCTCTCAGTTGGATTCGGCTCTATACTTGGTTATGCTAGTTTCAATAAATTTAAATCGAATTATCTTAGGTTAAATTCTAGTCTTTTCATAGCCATAAAATCTTTCTCTTCTGACTTTTTTTTAGAGATTGCCTACTTGTCACTGCTTGTGATTGTTTTACTTCGGTAAGTTTTGAATAAAGGAAAACAATCTATTTTGTCATTTTCAATGATCAAAAGGTATTTGCTGGCTTTGCTGTCTTTCCAATTCTTGGTTTTATGTCCTATAAAACAGGTTTACCTGTTGATCAAGTAGTTAAAGCTGGGCCTGGATTAGCTTTTATTGCTTATCCACAAGCATTATCAATTATGCCTGGTGGCCCATTTTGGGCAGTAACATTCTTTTTTATGCTATTAACTCTTGGTCTTGATTCTCAGGTATTCGTGTTGTACAAAAAAAAAAGATAAATTGAAGAAGAGTGATGCTACAATAAATATTTAGTTTGCACTTTCGGATGTAACCATATCTGGCCTACTAGATAATTTCAGTGGTCTACGACGTTATAAACCATTTGTTATTATTGGCTATTGTGTAGCTTGCTATCTATTAGCTCTTCCTATGTGTGCACCGGTAAATACAAAAACAAAAACAAAACACATTTGTATACAGTTTCTTCGTGAATTACTTTATTTCTAGGGTGGAATTTATTTATTCGTATGTATATTTATGATTTGATAAATAAATTGCAATATTGATGTATATATATATATTTTTTTTTAATGTAGACATTAATGAATGAATATTCAGCAAATTTATCAGTCATTGTTTGTGGATTTTTTGAATTTATTATTATTGCTTATATTTATGGTTGAGTATTGAGTGAATTCTGTTGAAGTTATTGAATTTTGTTTACGTAGGTTTTAATAAGTTTATGGAAGATATTCGAATGATGTTAGATAAACGACCGTTTGAACCCTATTGGTTTTTTACTTGGTGTATATCAGGTCCGATAATTACTCTTGTGAGAACAACGAAACCGAAATCTAGGGCTTTTTTGAAAATGAAATGAAAATTATTTTCTTCAGATCGTATTCTTTTCATCAATAATTCAATTTCGAGCGCCAACCGAAGGAAACTATACATATTTACCATATGCGAATGCTCTAGGCTGGCTTATGGTTGGTTCATCACTGATTTTTATTCCAGGTGTTATGATCTATGAATTTTTTAAAGCATGGAAAGTAACAAATCGTTCTCAAAACCAAGTAAGGAGATGTCTAATGTTGTTTTATCAAACGTGTTCTAAAACTGTCTCTCTTTCGTCACTGATCATGTCAGAGTTTACTATTGTATGGTATACGATTGTAGATCATTAGCCTCTTTTATACTATACACACATAATACTAAAAGATTTATTGTCTTTAAGATTACGGACACAATGCCACGTTACTTACGAATGTTAACATATGTAAGTCAACCGGATGATGATTGGGGACCAACAAGAAAAGAATATCAATGTGGCCGATATGAAAAACTTACCAATACAACGAGTAAAAATGATAGGAAACCACCAGACAACGAACCGGTTATTTTTTATAATGAAAATATTAATGATGCATTCGATCCTGCAGCTGATCTTGCTTCACGATTTTAGATGAATTTATTATTAATACTTCGATCCTGTATTAGTTAGAGAAAACAACGTACATAAATCAAGTCGAAGAATAATACATTATAAAGAATAATAAAATTCTATTTAAGCTGAACTATAGGATGTTTTCTCAAAGATCATCAAATAATTTTTCATTCTATTATGTGTTTGAAATAAATTATTTAAATATTTCTATAAAGCTTCAATTTTTTACATTTTTTTATCAAGTAATGCACCGCTCGATATCTAACTGAGAGTTGCAGTATAACAATGTAACTAAATTACTGATACGAAAAAACCAAGGTTATCAAGTTCTCACACTATTCAGAACATAGGGTTTGATTCTGAGGAAAAATATGTATACCATGGTTCATTTCGTGCACACATCTACGTAAGTGTGATTGGCAAAGATTTATTTTCATAAATATTTCTAGTCAAAATCTTATAGCTTCAGTCTAGTCCTGCCGAAATTTTCTACGGAATTCAAATATTGAATTACTAAATCGGATACAAAAACCCAAAAAGTAGCGCGACCTAAATTACGATCATTTTAAGCGTCACCAAGACGTGCAAATGAAATTTCTCATGTGATTCTAAGATTCGTTTAATCGATTGTTCTCATTTTCATGAATAACTCAATTTTATTTTCGTCAATATATTTTGCTTATTTACTTCGTTTACAAGCGACATCTTCACTGGATAGATTCTCGTTGGCCTCAAATTTTACCCATCTGAGAATTGAGATGAATAAACTAAACTAAACTTCTTTTTAACGGCCATTTGTAACATTATGTCGACACACGAAAGCAAGAAAAAGTCTTCATCTCCGAAGCATTCCAAAAGAGAACATCAAGCTGACAAGGATTCAGATGATATTCCTATAGAAGAGGTAATTGAAAGGGAGCTTTGAAAAGAAAAGATATGCACTGCAAAGGAATATTTCACTTTATAATATTCTTTCAGTAAAATCTAGTTTCCGAAATTGAAACTTATTGCTCGTTCAGGTTCACACAGTCAATAATTGGGAGCAAGCTGATCTTGGTGATAATCAAAGAAAAGAAAAATTTCTTCGCTTAATGGGTGCAAAGGTATTTTAACGAAAAGCAAATTCTATTTATTAAAATAAAACCAATGATTTATTCATCTAGAAACGTAAGGAAGATATTCAAACCGAAAGACAAGATTCTCATGGTAGCAATCATAGTGATGAAGGTTCCGCCGAAAAGAAACATTGTCGTTCAAGTTAGTGAATTGATTCAAATTTTTACTGAGCGAAAATTTATTTTCTCTTTTAGAAGCCGAAAATGAATCAATTGAACGTGAATTAGAAAAACAATTTAATGAAGGTTTACAAGCAAAAATTACACATGCACATCATGAAGGTCTTGGTTTTCATGGCGAAAGTACTGGTTTGACATCAAGTGCAGGCGATTGGCATAGTCAATCAACGAAAACAAAATTTGTACCAGCTAAAACCGATGGTGGATCATCATTAGATCATGTTCAAATAGAGAATAAAGAGAAATCAGATACTAAACAACAAGACAAAACAAGTGAAAAACAAGACAAAAATAAAAAATCGAAATCATAAAATGCAAAAAGCACTGCTGTTAAGTTTTTCAATTTTTGTGTAAATAAAGATAAAAAAAACAAGAAAGTCATGCAACGATAAATTTACTTAACATTAATAATAGTTGTCAAGTCTAGGAGTTTCGATTTGATCTAACCTTTTTGAAATTATGTCTTGAAAAATGGATTTAGATTCACTATAAAATCTCAATCATAATCCATTTCTGCTTAGTCTTATATTGCGTGGAAATGTTTAGCCAAACGAAAGAAAGTTGAAAAACTCGAATTTTCTTTCCCTTCTCGAAACTTAAATATAAATAATTTTTGTAAGTACAAAAAGTACAATAACAGAAGGAAAAAGACGATGCATTTCACTTGACTTCAAGTTCACTCTGAATTCGTTGTAGATGTAGCTTAAAAGTTTGTAAATGAGGATGATCAGGCGGAAGAGATTGAATGCTAATATCAACAGCACGTTGCTCATGTTCAAGCGCTTTTTGATATTGTCCCATATGGAAATATGCAGTTGCCGTACTGTTATAAATATGAGCAAGATCCGGATGATTAGCAGATAAAGTTTTCTCGTGAATTTTTAATGCTTTTTCATAGTTTTCAAGTGCAATTGAATATTGTTTGATTGACTGATGTGCAGTGCCAATGTTATAATACGATAAAGCTATCTCAGGATGATCGAGAGGAAAGTTTTTTTGTTGATTTTCCAGTGCCTTTTTGTAATGTTCAAGTGCAAGCGCGTGCTTTTGCATTGTTTGATACACCACACCGATATTATTATATGTTACACTAAGTGCTGGATGATTTGATGCAAGAGATTTCTTTTTAATTTCAAGCGATTTTTCATACAATCCAAGTGCTCTCTTATGATTACCCAATGTCCTTTGAATGTCTCCTAAGTTATTAAATGTAACAGCTAACGATGGATGATTTGGGCCGAGGCATTTTTCTTGAACACTTTTTGTTTTTTGATAATATTCCAGAGCAGCGTTATTATCTCCCATTAATTGGCTAACATGGCCGATATTATTATAGGAAGTAGCCAGTGCTGGATGATTAGATGGAAGTGATTTTTGTCGAATTTTAAGTGCTTTTTGATAAAACGAAAGTCCACTGGGATAATTTCCCAATAATTGATGAACCACACCTAAATTATTGTATGTTATAGCAAGATCGGGATGATTAATAGAATATGCTTTTTCTTGAATTTCTAATGCTTTTTCATAGGATGATATAGCTTCAGAAAATTCTCCTAGTAGTTGATGAATTTCACCAATATTAATATAAGAAATAGCTAACGATGGATGATTTGAGGTAAACGTTTTTTGTTTGATTTCAAGTGATTTTCGAAAATATACAATAGCTTGATTATAATCTCCTTGTTCACGATGAATAAGACCAATATTGTTGTAAGTAATGGCCAATGATGAATCATAAGGAGAACAGGTTTTCAATCGAATCTGAAGACCTTTTTCGAAATATTTTAATGCAGCTGCATATTTTCCCATTTCTCGTTGCAATTCGCCCATATTATTATAAGTAATAGCAAGGTCAATGTGCGTAGGAGAAAGAACTTTTCGTTTTATATCAAGAGATTTTCCGTAGAATTCCAATGCTGTGGCAAATTCACCAAGCGATTGATTAGCAAGACCAAGATTATTATAGGTAGTAGCCAGAGATAGATGGTGAGGAGAAAGAATCTTTTGTTTAATACTTAATGTTTTTTGATGACATGAAAGCGCTGCGAAATAGTCTCCTAATTCTCGTTGAATTTCGCCTATATTATTATAAACAGTACTGAGTGAATAATGATTGGAGCGTGATGATTTTCTTTGAATTTCAAGTGCTTTTTGATAAAATGCCAATGCTAATCTATAATCACCGGTTTCATCACAAATAATTCCTAATTCATTATAAATATGACACATTTTTGATGACTCAGTTGTAGGTAATAAGCTCAGAAGAACATGATAAATTTCTTTAGCATGATCAAATTCATGTAATAAAGCCATTAATTTGGCTAATTGATGCCATTGGCTGACATTTTGAGTTTTTTCGTGAACTAATTCTTTAAGGGAAATTAATTGTTTATCATTAATTTTAGTTAATTTTAAAGTAATCTGCCATACTTGATTTTCTATCTGTTTTATTTCCCTAGTACGAAAAATGCTCTGCATTGAAAAGAGAAAATTATTTTCTTGATCTTTTAAATAACTTGTATCTTTCAATGGAGTAAAGCAAGTTGATTTTTGACTACTGTCAACTTCTATTCGAAACAAAAGAGCAACACTATTGGCATTGCCACGTGCACGACGTGCATCGTCCAATGCTGTTTTATAATTTGAATTGGCTAACATGAAATTATGAAATGATAGAAGATGACCTTCGGTTCCTTTCATTTTTTCAAAATCATCATTCGACGTAATTTGACTTCGATATAATACTGTCGATGTTTCATTTGATGTTTCGATTTCTTCTATATTTCGATGAAGATCTTGTATAAATGGTGCCAGTTTAATAATAACTTCTATATCTTGCGTATGTATAGCTCTATTGAGCATAACGTAGAGAAAACATTGACGTGTATACCACCAGATAGGTGAATGATCATGATAATTATTTTCGTATTCATCAATAATTTTTAATTCTTTACTATTTTCAGTAAAATGTGAACGACAAAATTCAGCTAGACTTTTATGAGCTCCATCATCATATTTCACGTCGAGAATAATTTGTCTAACTAAAAACCAATAAAGAAATAATGAATTTAATTGTCTTAATTCCTGTTTTAAATAATCATCTGAAGGAATAACAATACTTATTCCAAGTAGATCTTGTTCAATATGTCTTGTATCACGTTTAAGTAGACCAAAAATAGGATCGACTCTATCAAATATACCTTTGACTTTCTCATATTCTTGTTTAGAATATTCTTTCTTTTGATCGTCATCATCATCAGTAATTATATAAACAGAATGAATATGTTTCATTGATTTTATACGAGACCATATTTCTTTGACACAATTACCAGCTATAATCATTAAAATTTTTGTTTCTTTCATTTTAGTGAGGTATTGTAGACATTCGTCAACATTTATAAATGTATTTATCAAAACAGAAATACGTCGACAACGAGCGACTGAATTTCGATGAATAATATCAGCATCATTCACACTGGTATCAAGCCAAACAATAGCAAATTTGTTATTAATACTGTCTAACGTGTTTTGTCTTGTATTAGGAAGTTTATTTAAAGAAGAGCCTGTGTTTTTCGTTAACGAGTCAGTAGATGCAGACCCATCGAGGAATTTAGAAGTTGTAAACCCCATGGAAATTTACAGTAACCAATAGCTCTATTCGTACGGTTGTTTTATGTTGAAGATGAATAGTATTGGAATGTTGTGTACTACACTATTTTGCGTTCTTTTATTTAGTAAGAAGTGAGTAGAGAAAAGACTATGAAAATAAAATTTTCCATTCATTACAACTAGAGACAAGTGGCATATTTATTCCATTATTTCATTTAAAAAAAAACACACCCGAAACTTTTCATGCACAAATGTTTTTTTTATGAAAAAATTCTATGGTACCACTCAAAAATTCTCGAATAACATAAATTATTTTCTTTTTTGTTGAACCCTTATATCAAATATTAATCAGCATGACTGCCACCGAGTACTTACTATGTTAGGCTTTGCCTACATAAATAAACAAAACACTTACTGAATTATCTGACAAAAAGAGTGTGGGTGAATGTGAGCGTGGACGTACATCGGATAATTCTAGTTCTGAATCTAGTCTCTATGTGTGAAATAATGACCGGGTTCTCTGCTCTGATATTGGTAAGCTATTCGCAATCTCAGTGGCGAAGGTCACCGAGAGAGAAACGCATTGTGTAAGAGGATTGCCAAGGGCTGAAGAAGAGTGTGGGCGTGGAGTATAGTATCAGTAGCTCATGATCAACTTTGTTCATTGATGATCTTTTTAGAGTATTTATCGCATCAGAAATACATGGAACCAAGGATAAAAAACTATTAGTTTCAATTTATTATAAAGATAAATATCTTTCTTGTTGAAATATTCTGACTAAGCAAAGTCTGTTGATAATAATAATAATCGTTTTTCAATATGTACCAAACTTTTTTTGTCTTTATCACATTCCTTGGTTCTTGAGATAGATGAGTAATTGTCATATTCATAATCACAAGTAAGAATAATACAAAATTTTGATAGGATCAACTCAGCATTTTTATAATACTAAATAAATTTACTTTTTCGATTAGATATGTATATTTAATTACATAAGATCGGTTACAATTGACAAATTCTTTTATTCTTTTGCTACAAGAATTTCGATATGAAAAGGCTCGATAATATTTTGTTAACAAGTCTCAGTGAGTGGGAAATAGATGATGGGATCATTTATATTTGCTTTTTCGATGTGCTTTTATTGCAATATTTTATGTTGATGAGAGAATGTTTTCTAATTCGAGCTTCACGCACGAGTTAGAGTGCGATGTGGTACGAAAAGCCTCGAATCAAACAGACCTCAGATTTGCTAGCAAGAGGGCAAAAGGCGGATTTGGGATTTTGAAAATCCCAAAATCCAAAACGCGAATGACAGAATTTTCATCTGAATTTTTTCTCATATGTAAGTCTCATGATTCTTAGAATATTTTAAAATTTTCAGCGCAAATAGACGTTTCCTTCTCAAGATAATGAATGCGCAAGAAATACTCATTTCACGGCACGGTCAGAAAATCCAGTTTTTTTGAAAATTCAATATTTTAAGAAAGAAACATTTATTCGAGTTGAAACTTTTAGGATCTTTTATGGATCATGAAACTTATATATGCGAAGAATTTCAGGTCGAAGCTACGTCATTCACAAAGGGGAAAATGCTTTTCAATTTATGGGATTTTGAGAATCCCAAAAGTCCGCTTTTCCCCCTTGTTTGCTAGGCTTCCTATCGATAAGTAGTGTTGTCGCTGAACATCGATTTCAGATCGGACTATCTTTATTCGATTTGCTGATGTCCGCTGTGTCGTCGGACTGAAATTCTGACAAAATTCTTTGCAACACTTGTCGTTTCGAATTTTTTTATATTAAATTTAACATCACATAATGAAATCGTATTTGTACCGATTGAAGAGATATGAAAGATACAATTCACAGATTTTATCTGTCTGCTGATAACAATTGTCGTTAGTAAAATTAGCAAAACAATTACTTAATGAAATTACCAAATAAAGTTAAGACAACATAGTTGCAAATATTTCAAAGATTATTATGAATTACCAAAATTGATTTAATCTAATAAATGAATAAGTATACGGTTGTAAATGTTGTTTATTGGCTTCCGATCTCTTCCGCTTTCAGATTGATGGTTCCTCAAAAAGTATAAATCGAATAGGCATCTATATCTTGGCTAAGAACCAAAAGAAATCGATCATGACATTTAGTTTATAATCAAGCGAATAACTAAAATATGAAAATTTTCTTGCGTATACTTTAATTTTTATATTAAATTCATATTCAAGCATTAAATTTGTAAATTTCTATGCTATACAAAGAGTAAAGAATACGTACGTAGTTCCAGTCATAGAGCCAACTCGTGGAGAAAAATAAGAGTTTCATCAGTCACGTATAAAAGAAGTAGGACATTTTCTAGTGTTACACATTCGATAACGTTATGCCTCTAATACCTATAGTACTCATACTCTTGTTTATCAGCTTCAATAATATTCACCGTAGGATTACTATAACACTTAACACGATTGCATGTATTAAATAGTTTCTCAATCTACATTGCAATGAATATAGTCCAACTTTGGAATAACTGTTTAAGACCATCATGCGGAAACATCATTACTGAGGACGAAGCATGCTATAGAGTCACATTGGCGCACGGTACGAAATTATGCGCTTCACCTGCAGAATGCGATAGCTTTGATACTTGTTGCGAGCACAAATCATGCCCATCGGTGAAATCAGTATGTGCCATTGACCTTTGTTGTAAACGCCCCATTTGCATGCCTGTTGTATAAACGCAAAGATGCAGAATAAATCGTTGACCTGCTGGAAGTCGAAGTGAGTGTGTCTTTATTGTGTAAATGGGCTAAGCCACTTGAATATTTACATTCCTGATATGGCTAAATAGTTATATTTTAAACAACTGAAATTTTTATGTTGATATAGCTCCAGTTAGAGTATCAACGATTATAAGGATTGCTATTATTTTCAGAATATTCATGAACTGTGCAATTAACTTTCTTGCTACATTATCCGCGAGAATTACTCTATGTGAAGTCAATTTCAACATGATTGAGTGCATTTTCGTTAGAAACAGTCATGTGCAAGCATAAATATTAAGATACGATGCACTACTCACTCAATAGAAAGATGGCTATTCGAGACCTAATCGAATAATGTGGAGCGTGTTGGTGTAGGCATACTCGTTTTATACTCTTCTACATCCACGCCCAATAAACTGAGAGTAATTAAGGAAAATGAATGATCATGTACAAGAATTTGAATATTTTCGTTACAATTTTGAGAAGATTCTTAATAAAAGCACGATTCCGGACGAGATAGTGTCCCTAGAGGTGAAAGCCGCCATCGTATAGGAAATAAAAAGTCGTTAAATTCGACAACAGTGATAGTGATGATGAACCCAATGGTTGTTGAGAATGCTTGCGTTTCTTTGATCGAAGCCCACACACAGACTCTTCCTAGCTGCTAATAGTCTTATTATGAACTATTAATGTTTGCAATGAATTCATGAATTTTTTTAGTATATTTCTTGGTTTAGCATATAACTTTAAAAAGATAATAACGAAAATAGTTAAATAGAGCAATGATTCTTTTTTGTCGTTTCATATATGTTCTCGTTTCTTAAGCCATGGGTTAGTAGGCTTCTTAATAACAACGTTTACCAGATTAATTTGCGATATTGCTTTTGCATTTGGCAATTAATTCTTTAGGATTGGTTATTATACATAAACGGTCTTTCCAGTCGTAAACGCCCTTTGAAGATCCCTGGGATGCCAATCGAGTTTCTAACCCAGATTTATCTTTAGTAAAAACAATCACAGGAACATGTTTTAAATCGTTCTGATTTAAAAACAATAACAAATCCAATGGATTTTTATCCTCATTTTTATAATAGCCACGAGAAATAATTTGAAATGGAGATGATTTGATTGGCCTTGTGCTTTTTTGCAAATAATTTTGTAACGATGAAAATGTCTCGAAAAATTCTATATGAATATGTCCATTGCTTTCTAAATGCTTTGCAATAATATCATTTTCTCCATCCTTCTTATCAATCCAAAGAATATACGGTTTATATACGATACTGTCTTTGCGTACCGTGTGCATATTAGTAGTAGTACTTATTTGTGACTGTCCACCATCTTCTCTATTCAGAATCGTTCCCTCATTTCTGTTCGTTCTATCAGGAATATAATGAGGTCGTTGTATATATCCCAATGTGTTATCATTGTCAATATCATGAGGATTGGTGTTCGAGTGGTATCTTGGAATATGAACAGGATTGGTTGGTTTATTCCATTGGCTTGTTTGGCGATGAAAATTTTGGGGATTGTGGGAAGCATTTCTTTGACTGTCCGGATGTCGGGGATCATTTGAAACGTCTCTTTGGCTGTCCGGATGTCGGGGATTATACGAAACGTCTCTTTGGCTGTACGAATGTCGAAGATCATTTGAAACATTTCTTTGGTTGTTCGGATGTCGGGGATTATACGAAACGTCTCTTTGACTATCCGGATATCGGGGATCATTTGAAACGTTTCTTTGGTTGTCCGAATGTCGGAGATCATTTGAGACGTTTCTTTGGTTGTCCGGATGTCGGGGATTATACGAAACGTCTCTTTGACTGTCTGGATGTCGGAGACCATTTGAAACGTCTCTGTGGTTGTCCAGATGTCGGGGATTATACGAAACGTCTCTTTGACTGTCCGGTTGTCGGAGATCATTTGAAACATTTCTTTGGTTGTCTGGATGTCGGAGACCATTTGAAACGCCTCTTTGACTGTCCGGTTGCCGAAGATCATTTGAAACGCCTCTTTCACTATCCGGTTGTCGGGGATCATTTGAAATGTTTCTTTGGTTGTTTGAATATCGGGGATCAAGCGAAAATGTTCGTCGAATATCTCTGCTTCTCGCATTTTCCGACATTTCTATATTTTCAATATGTAACTCTCTGCGACTGAAAAAATTATTTGAAACAGTTTTTATTGTGTTAGTCGAAACGAAGTTCTAAAATGATCAGATAATTATAAGTAATGCAGCAATATTCTTGATCACCTTCAAAGTAAATGAATTTTATCGTTGATCTACAAAAGAAAAACCTTTAGCAAACATAAAGTCATTTGTATGCATTTTAAGATAAGATGAAAAGTAATTTAGTTCAAAAATTTGTTTTATCTCAAACTATTAATAATACAATATACATATATACCTTATAAATCATGCTCTTCATAAGAAAAAATCTTGCAGAGTGAAAATTATGGATTACCTTGTTTTCGACCATTTTGGATTGATTCGTAACCAGAGATGAGCACAGGATAAATGTTTTTGTCCTGTCCTGTCCTGTTGTCCTGTTAGACCTATCGTCCTGGCGGGCGGCAGGACAGGACGAAAATTAAAAGGTTGTCCTGCCCTGTAGAACAGGGCAGAGCAGGACGCCAGGACAGCAGGACCGTCCTTTCCTGTGCTCATCTCTGTTCGTAACTGTAACGAAGCGTCATAACCCTCTTCACTATATAAACTACGTTATTTGGTAAAATGCTTCGGTTTTGTTTGAAAAGAAAAGCTCTTTTCTAATATTATGTTAGTGTATCAGTAAATCGAATTTTTTGCTGCAAAATTACCCGTTGAGGTTATAATAAAGATTATGCTATTTCGTTTTTAGAATTTTGCTGAATTTGTGCATTTTAATTGAACTTATTTACGAATGAAAAGTGATTTCAAACAGAAGCGATATTTTTTTGATAGAGAAATATGCCAATCTTATGATAATGAAACAGATAGAAATGTTGAAATTTCTACGATATTTGATAATAATGCATTTTCTAGAAAAGCAAAAAATTACAAATAAAATTCACCAACGACTTCTGTACGACAACTCTTCTGATATATTCGTATCAAAATCAACTTTCCGTGTTGAATGTATCTTTTGCTAGTACACTAATAACTATACGTTCGCGAGCAAGCAGCACTATAATAATGCGCACATACAACTCAGAGAAATGATTAAATACTTCAGTGAGCAAAGTCAATTTCCAGTATTTACTTTGTTCATCCAGAATTATAATTCTTGTTAGGAAAAAAATAATCCAATGAAGTCTAAGCTGTTGTAGTATTTCATGTGAAAAACCTTCTTTTTGGATTGGAAGACATATTCTTTCCTACAGAAAGTCAATATGGTTCCAAAGAAGTTTGGATAGGATAAATAATGAGTCACTTTTAACGAATGCTATTTTGACTTTATCTTAAAAATTAAAGTAGATATACCGAGAATGTTCTCAAACATCATCTGTCATTTCGATTATAACTAGCAAAGAAAAATTATCATTACTGGATAGTTAAACGAATATACTTAACATCTTTGATTTCAGTAAAACATCTCAACTTTAACGTGTAAATTTGCACTTTAAATTTCGCTACTTTATTAAATTCAAAATGCCATCTCTATATGTTTTTTCTAGGCTAGCGAAAGAAGAAAATACTTATATTTGTTTAATCTATCTTGAACATTATTGCACATGAATAATCTTGTACTAAAACATGCTTTCATTTCGTATAAATCAAGATTTACGCATATGCCATGGATTATATAATAGTTCATACTGTCTGAATAATAATATGAAGGTGATCTTTCATTAATTTTTGTGATATCAGATGAAAAGATTTCTTCTTTACAACACTCGCATTTGTTCAAGCCTTCAATGGTATTGAATCGTGGAGATTGTTACCATTGAGAATATTTCTAATACGACCATTATAAAAAAAAGACAATTAGACGATTCACATCAATATATTTTTCCACTTTTTTTCCTGGCTAAAAATCTAAGGGCAACAGAAACAAAAAACATTCGATCTAGCGTGCATAACAAAAGTTTGCCAGCTAATGTGTTACTAACCATAGAATGAAAGCAATATACCCTTTTGTGAAACAAGATCTAAAAGGAATATGCAAATATAATGGGTAGAGATTGGCGTTCCACCCCTTGAAATTACTTTACAGATAATTTAACTGTGTAGCTAACTAATTCAGTGATCACTAATTAATGATTAGTTAACTAAACCCTGTTTATTAAAGATTATATTAATCGATAATTAGCCAATTAACAGTTAACAATTAATTAATGAGTGTCACAGACCACGGGAAACGGCTTCAAGGAGTTATCAAAGATTGTGTAGAATCAATATTTAATCGGAATATTTGTTTCTTTAAGTTCTGTACTCTAAACTAAACAACGATGAAGAAATATGCCCCAGTATAGATAAAAATTACCAGTTTTCTAGGAATTCGAAATAATATCTAAATCATCATGTTTCAGATTTTAATCTCGGAGAGATGGCGCTAACAGCTTGTTTTTATTGAAACGAATCTCGCATAAATGTATTCGAATTAAATAATACAATAGAAATAATATAAAAGAACTTGTGGAGTTTCGATAAAACTTCAAGAGATATTAACCTTGATTAGGCATCCCTTTGAAGTTTTCTACCACCATCATTTCTGAACTTAAATCAACTGGTGAGAGTAAATTGTTTTTAATCTTTTGGCAAAGATTATCCGTTTTATCAAATAAATAATCTAAGATAAGATACCTTGGCCAGAATATCTAAGAAATATTTTATGTTAACTTCTAGATTACTAATGAGTATTGATGAAAATATTAGACAAATTTCTATAAAATATTGGCTATTTTCTGTTGAATTTATAAGATAAAAATCAATACGTGAAATATTTAAAAGACAACAAAAAATCGCATATAAAGCCTTTAGTTTTCGAAAAATAGTCAATATTTGAAAGCATTGGAATAGTTAACGTAGAAAAATTTACTATATGCTAGATAGAATAAAGACCGTAGCAGATGTCTAAAAAACGCCTGTTCATCGTCGCAAATATATTCGGAAGCTCATAATCTGCTACAGAATTCATATGGCAACTATCCTTTATCTTTCTTTCAAACTCTCCGGTTTATATTGGAATTAACATTTTTCATTATCAACATGCATTAACAGTGTATGTAAGAGTTCAGAAACTCAAACATATATTGCTGATGTAGCTTTCAATCCGGCAAAATCTGTTTAAAATCAGTTAATTCAAAATATCATACTCCAAAATTTTCAGCTCAAAGAATTTTGTAAACAGATAAACGAATCTTCGAATATCCCATTTATTTGTATCGTCTAAGTTCAAATAAAAATATAAAATTTATTTATTTATCTATTTGATGCTTTTAAAGCAATGGTAATATCAATAGAAACCTGCAAATGATGCTTACCTGCTGTTATTCAATGATTGACACGATGCATACTATCACGAATGAACAAGCAATATGAAAAATCAACGTGCTCATTTTTATTGAATATGAAAACAAAAAAATATTACATGGCCAAGGTAATCCGCTCTTCTATGCTGATAAATGCAGGTGAGGAAGCAAAATAAGAAAAAAAATAAACATTCTTCATATAAACACGCGGTCAGGCATAAAAAGAAATACAAATATTTAGCAACATTGACTATATGATGAGGGCAGTGAGGCGAAGCCTTTGCATCAATTTGAATTATTTGTGACATTTGCTAATAAAAAAAGAACTTGTTTGAAGGATGGAAAATATTTTCCAGGAAATAAATTGCTATGAATAAGTAGAAATTTTTATCGTACAATGAATAGAAAATACTTAATAAAGAAATCAAATATATTTAATTATTCGCTTATTTGTGAGGCATACAATCAGACAAAAAAATCCCAATTTTTTCTATTCTCTCACTTTTGACTCTCAAAATCAATATTTATTATTTTCAATCTGCTTATCCTAAGTAAAAATGAATTTTAAGACATTCTGTATGGAAAGTTCAATAATATCAGATTAAATATAAGTTCCTTCAATAGCAATAATTACAAACATCGCTAATAGGGAAAGGGCTAATTGAAATGAAAGTTTATTGTTGAATTTAGATGTCGTGAAATTTATCGACCATTTACAAATTGTTCTAAAAAAATAAATATAGAAGTTGCATGATAATTAATTTCGCATTGATCTATTCCTTTTAAATTACCAGCACTTACAATGAAAATAATGTTATTTATTGCTCAAATGTTTTCACATTCACTAAGCGAATTTGTTAAAACAATTCGTAATAGAACTTTATTTTCAGGAACACATGATGAAAAAGTAATTGCGCAAAATGTTCATTCCTTTTTCCCTTTGATAGAAGAATGTTGAAAGAAAACCTTTTTTCGGAAAATGATAGAATTTTTCTCGCTCTTTTGGATCGAAATCTAATTTATTCTCATAATATGCCGGTCAACGTAGCGACACAATAAAAGCGAGAAACACCCTCAAAAGAAATCTGCACTTTTCATGGAATTTGAAAACCTAGTGCCGTTGATTCCGGCCTTCGATTTTGACTAGATCCTGCTGCTTCCCATGATTCTCCTTCGAATTTCTGGGGGATGTCCTAGGTTTTCAACAAGGCTAGTTCCGTTCCCTGTCCAAGTGTACAACAGACTCGGCAAAAAACACTGGAACTCAAGTCGATTATTCCAGTGCCCGTTTTCTCCGACCGAAACCGCTTGACCAGATATTTCTAAATGCTACTGAAGATGATTGGAACTAGTCCATATTTATTCGCCTGGCGAACGTACGTCGAATATTGAAAGCATTATTATGACAACAGCCGTCTGGCAGATATCCGCTGAGAAGGCACAGTAGGTGAATCATCTAGACGCCATCACACAACGGCACGAAACACTATCCACGGAAGCAAACAAACAAAGCTTCATCAAAGAATACTTCGAACGTGATCATCTCAAGGTGTAGATGTGGTTATGGCTCTATCGGTTTGGGTATGTGACTGTAACTTTTTATGGGACGTGTACCATAACCCACACCCTCATGAGTCCACTAGACAGATTAAATGTTTATCTACTTATCTT